TACGCCTTTTCCAAATCCATAAATGCCAAAGACCTCTTTAGCCTTATCTAAATACTGTTCACTTATATGTTTCACTGTAAAAACCTGGTCCAAAACACCCCCTACCTTTCCTAAAGCCTCCTTGTTCATCTGCTTCCTATTCTCCGTCTTACCTTAATTCTTTCAATTTAAATCTACCATACACTTTACCAGGTACACTCAACAGACTTATCCCCTATAATTTTGCACTCTCTTTTATCCCCTTTGCCTTTATACAAAGGAACTATGCATGCTCTCTGCCAATCCCCAGGTACCTTACCCTCTTCCATACATTTATTAAACAAATTTCACCAACCCTCCAAAACTATATCCCCACCTGCTTTTAACATTTCTATCTTTATCCCATCAAACCCGGCTGCCTTACCCCCTTTCATTTTAAACCCACTGCCTCACGAACTTCCCCAATCACAATGGTTCTTCCTACTCTAACAAAATTTTTATTCCTCCTTGCCCTATACACGAAAATCACAGCTTCCCATCTTCATCAACATTTAACAATTCTCAAAATTTTTCCTTCCATCTTCCCAATACCCCTAACTCTCCATTTAATAAACTTCCCTCTCCTATTTTAACTGACAAATCCATTTTGTTTTTCTAGGCTTTCTTAACTTGTAACTCCTCCCACTTTTTTCTTAATTTTTCAACAAATTTGTTGATAACATCTCACCCAATCTCTCATTTGCTCCTTTTTACATTGCTTCACCACTTCTTAACCCTCTCTTTGTTCTCCATATACTCTTCCCTCCCTTTTCATCACTTCTACTTGTAAAAACTTTCTATGCTAACTTTTTTCCCCTTACTACTCCTTTACTCATCATTCCACCAATGCTCCTCTTCCCTCCTGCACCACTTTCTGTAACCACAAAATTCTGCTGAAACACTCTAAAACTACCATTTTTAAACCTACCCCATACCTCTTCGACCCCATTGCCATGCTCTCCCTTAGCCCCTCTATCCTCCAATAGCTGTTTATATCTTTACCCTAACCCTTTCCTCTTTAGTTTTATAAACCTTCACCTCTCTTTCCCTGATGCTTCTTTCTCCTTGTATCCCATCTACCTTTTACTCTCAGTGTCTTCAATAGAAAGTGATCTGATATATCTGTGGCCCCTCTATAAACATGTACATCCTGAAGTCTACTCAACAGTCTTTTATCTACCAATACATAATCAACAAACTACTGTCATTTCGCCTCCTACATATTCGTGTATACTTATTTATCCTCTTTTTTTTAAAATATGTATTACCCATAACTAAGCCCTTTCTATACAAAGTTCAATCAAAGGGCTCCATTATCATTTACACCTGGCACCCCAAACTTTACCTACCCCACCCTCTCTAAAAGTTTCTCCTACTTTAGCATTCAAGTCCCCTCCCACAATTACTCTCTCACTTGGTTCAAAGGCTCCTATACATTCACTTAACATCTCCCAAAATCTCTCTCTCTCTCTCTGCATTCCTCTCTTCTCCAGGTGCATACACGCTTATTATGACCCACTTCTCGCATCCACTTTACTTTAATCCACATAATTCTTGAATTTACACATTCATATTCTCTTTTCTCCTTCATAACTGATCATTTAACATTACTGCTACCCCTTCCTTTGCTCTAACTCTCTCAGATATCCAGATTTAATCCCATTTATTTCCCCCCCACTGAAACTCTCCTTACCCCCTTCAGCTTTGTTTCGCTTAGGGCCAGGACATCCAACTTCTTTTCATTCATAAATCAGCAATCATCTGTTTCTTGTCATCCGCACTACATCCACGCACATTTAAGCACCCAGTTTTATAAAGTTTTTCTTCTTCTCTTTTTTTAGTAATTGTATACAGGAGAAGGGGTTACTAGCCCATTGCTCCGGCATTTTAGTCGCCTCATACGACACGCATGGCTTACGGAGGAAAGATTCTTTTCCACTTCCCCATGGACAATAGAAGAAATAGAAAAGAACAAGAGCTATTTAGAAAAAGGAGAAAAACCTAGATGTATGTATATATATATATGCATGTGCGTGTCTGTGAAGTGTGACCAAAGTGTTAGTAGGAGTAGCAAGATATCCCTGTTATCTTAGCGTGTTTATGAGACAGAAAAAGAAACCAGCAATCCTACCATCATGCAAAACAATTACAGGTTTTTGTTTCACAGTCATCTGGCAGGACGGTAGTACTTCCCTGGGTGGTTGCTGTCTACCAACCTACTACCTGGAGCCTACCCATCAACCTTTTATCCACCAATACATAATCTAACAAACTACTTTCATTACGTGCTACATCATACCTTGTATATTTATTTATCCTCTTTTTCATAAAATATGTATTACTTATTACCAAATTTCTTTCTACACATAGCTCAATTAAGGCTCCCCATTTACATTTACCCCTGGCACCCCAAATTTACCTACTACTCCCTCCATAACATTTTTACCCACTTTAGCATTGAAATCCCCAACCACCATTACTCTCACACTTGATTCAAAACTCCCCACGCATTCACTCAACATTTCCCAGAATCTCTCTCTCTCCTCTACACTTCTTTCTTCTCCAGGTGCATACACGCTTACTATAACCCACTTTTCACATCCAATCTTCATTTTACTCCACATAATCCTTGAATTTATGCATTTGTAGTCCCTCTTTTCCTGCCATAGCTTATCCCTCAAAATTAATTGCTACTCCTTCTTTAGCTCTAACTCTATTGAAACCCTGACCTAATCCCATTTATTCCTCTCCATTGAAACTCTCCCACCCCCTTCAGCTTTGTTTCACTTAAAAGCCAGGACATCCAGTTTCTTCCATTCATAACATCCACAATCATCTCTTTCTTATCATTTGCACAACATCCACGCACATTCAGACTTCCCACTTTGACAATTTTCTTCTTCTTATTCTTTTTAGTAATCTTTACTGGAAAAGGGGTTACTAGCCCATTGTTCCCGGCATTTTAGTTGACTTTTACAACACGCATGGCTTACGGAGGAAAGATTCTTATTCCACTTCCCCATGGATATAAAAGGAAAAGTAATAAGACCAAGAACTATTAAGATAAAATCAAAGAAAACTCAGATGAGTGTGTATAAATAAACATGTACATGTATGTGTAGTGTGACCTAAGTGTAAGTAGAAGTAGCAAGACGTACCTGTAATCTTGCATATTTATGAGACAGACAAAAGACACCAGCAATCCTACCATCATGTAAAACAATTACAGGCTTTCGTTTTACACTCACTTGGCAGGACGGTACTCCTGGGTGGTTGCTGTCTACCAACAAGTCATTAAACAAACTAGAAAATTCTGTCAATGATTTTAATGTGCTGGTAATGTTTCAGTGTTTCTTTTTTTTTACAGCTGATCTTGAAAAAACTATAGACATGTCACAAACAGTATTAGTACTTAGTATTACTAAGTAAACAGTTTTTTATTTACCCGAGTAAACACTCCATGCATATTAACCCTTTGACTGTCGCAACCCCAAATCCTGAGGTGTCTCCTGGTGTCACAAAATATTTGAAAAACAAAAAAATTATTTTTTCTTGTGAAATGATAGAGAATCTTTTACCAATTGTAATGACACCAAAAGTATGAAATTTGATGGGAAACTTATGGAATTACATTCTCGTGAAGTTAGCGAACTCAGCGACATTTACACATCGGCGATTTCGCCCACTTTGAGCCCTATTTTCGGTCAATTCCATTGTTCCAGTCTACCAAACTCTATAGATATTTCTTTAGAACTTCATTTGTTCTATCGACTTAGTATAAGAAACCGCCCATATACCAATTTCAGCTATCCAATAAAGTGGTCAGAAATTGGCAATTTGGCCAATTTCATGCAAATTAAAAAATATGTCAGTTTCAAAACAGGGTTCAGAATGAACAATGCAGACATTCTTGGCACTAAAACAACATTTTTCTCTGTTCATCAGTCACGTCTCCAGGCCCCTGTTATAATCCTCTTGCTTTCTATTTTTAATTTTTATTCACATAAAAAATAGATTTACTGTTATGCAGACTACTGCAATATTGTAATAATTGTATAAATAGCATCAACCCATTCATGACTGCATATTAGAATGGCTAGTTGGACATTTGTTGGACAATGACATCATTTGTTTACTCCTGAACATCAGCAAAAATCGAGCATTTCTGCCACTTTGAACTCCATTTCAAAATCCTTTTCATAGTAAAACCAATCAAAGTCGCTTCTATTTCTAAGTTTTTCATTCTATCAAATGAGACCAAGAAAACAAGAATACAGCAATAAATACCATATGAAAATACACCTCAAAGTCGGCATTTTAATCGAAAAACACAATCAGAGTTTTTTTCTCATTATGCACTGCGTGCTGCAGGATTTTTTTATACTGCGCACACTGACCACACAGACCCATTCTCTCACATGTGGGCCTACCAGCTTTCTCCTGCTTGATTTGAAGCCACTAGAATTTTTGAGTATACATGTATATTAACGTCACACACATTGGCTCATAAGACGTATATATACGACCAAAACAGTCAAAGGGTTAATATGTAATACCTTATTCATCATAACTTCCACACAATCTAGCTTGGTATTCCAGTTTGCTGATCGTGGTATTATGTACATCACCTAGGCTTCTCATACCAGTTTCAGTGCATATACATTCTGTGACGTGAAGGTGTGTATCTGAGCGTCGACAAATGCTTCACTAGAATCACTTCACTGTACAGTGAAAAATGGTAATGTGGTCTTTGAAGATAACTTGGTTATTCTTACCAGTAAGAATCTTACTGTAAGAATCTTGAACTTTTTATTTTTCCACATTTTTTGTTGATCTCCAAAAGGTTTTTTATTCCTGCAAATAAGCATCGTTATGGTTTTACAAATCCTCATTTCATACATAGTTTTCTTTCTGAAGAGTCTGCTGTAAAATATACAGTGGTTTTAATTATTATGCTTATTCAGTAATTTTAATTTTTTCAGCATCCTGAGTTCAACTTTTTATTGAAAGACAGAGTGTGTGCTCTGGTCATCAAGTTGTTCTCTCCAAACATCAAATACCGAGCCTCAGTGCCTGCCAGCGTCCAGCAGGCAACACCTCTAGACAAGCCATATTTTCCCATTGCCATGAGACTGCTCAGAGTTGTGTCAGTTTTGATACAAAAGTATTATCCCCTATTGGTAAGCTGTATTGCCTGTCTGAGCTAGACTTTTAAAAATTTTATTCTCTAATGCTTTAATCTCAATGTTTTTGCACAGTTAAATGAAAATTATATACTGTACTGTAAGCAAATGAGACATATTGTATAGGATCATGTAACATAAACGATTGCAAACTAATCACAATGGGTGGTGCTTGAACTTATGGCAATAATTGGATGAATCTATTAGTGCCAGCTGGCTGGGTAGTTAACACACTGTCCTGTAAGTTTTAGGACTCACTGGTCATGGGTTCAACCCCACCCATTCTGTGACTTGATTAGTCCCATTCTATCCAGATCATGCAGCCTGTATCCAATTCTTGGTAAGCTCATACAGCCTACTCTCATAAAATGTTTTCTTGACCAGAACATGCATCGATAATTCTTTCCCCATGAAACTTTTCTAGACTTCAGTAACTAATTCTTTTCTGTTTCCTCTTTTTTTTTTTTTTCTAAACAAGGGTGTTTGTTTTACTAGGTAGTAATGTTATAATCTAGCTCATTTTGAGATGAATTTATCTTTTTTCTGTGTAATTTAACCCTTAAACTGAAGCACATTGGAAGGAAAAGTGTTGGTGGTATGGCATAATTTTGTCATATTCTGAGCAGAATAAGAAAAGGAAAAATAAAATCTAATAATAGCTTACTATGGCATGCTGTTACAACATCATTTTGATGCTGCCAAGTTGTATTTGTTTTTTGTTTCTAAGGCAAATAATTATAGTTCTTCAGTTTTTATTTTGAATATTTAATACTAGCTACCACAGCTCCTAATGATCAAGTTTTTCTGTTTTATTACTTGAAATAGACTGAGAAGCACATTGCACCTTAAACACGGACACAATAAAGATATTAAATGTATACAAATACACTACTTGTTTTCGTCTTCTAAATACTGTTCTTGTGTTGCAACATTATGCATAGATAAACATTCTTATATTTCACTGGTTTCTCATGATACTAGATGTGTTTCACAACATGAGGAGACACTGATCCTGACATTAATAGTCACACATGGAATATAATATACAATGTGATTTGGTGCAAACTATTGTTTTTTTCCTTATTTCTCTTAACTGCTTTTGTCTTCTGACTTTATGTAAAAGGAAATTACTATTGATTCAGCATGTGACACTTCTGTGGGGACAAAGAACTTTATCCATGAAAGCAAAGAGGGGAATGTATGAGAGTATAGTTAATAATAAAAAATAAATAAAAATAATTATTATCATTATAATTATGGTGTCTTCAAGACTAAGACACTCCAGTGATTTTAACGTGTACCTGCATGCCAGTACAGTAAGTTTATTTAGGTACAGTTACACATAAGTATAATTATTCTTCTTTCAACGTACCAGCCGTATCCCACCGAGGTGGGGTGGCCCAAAAGGAAAAACAAGTTTCTTCTTTCAGATTTAGTAATATATACAGGAGAAGGGGTTACTAGCCCCTTGCTCCCAGCATTTTAGTCGTCTCTTACGACACGCATGGCTTACGGAGGAAGAATTCTGTTCCTCTTCCCCATGGAGATAAGAGGAAATAAACAAGAACAAGAAATAGAAAGAAAATAGAAAACCCAGAGGGGTATGTATATATATGCTTGTACATGTACATACAAGTATATGGAATAGGTGGTAAGTTACTAAATTCTGTAAAGAGTTTTTATGAGGATAGTGAGGCTCAGGTTAGGGTGTAGTAGAAGGGGTACTTCGGTAAAGTAGGTTAGAGGAGTGTATGTACATGTTGTTTAATATATTTATAGATGGGGTTGTAAAAGAAGTAAATGCTAGGGTGTTTGGGAGAGGGGTGGGATTAAATTATGGGGAATCAAATACAAAATGGGAATTGACACAGTTACTTTTTGCTGATGATACTGTGCTTATGGGTGATTCTAAAGAAAAATTGCAGAGGTTAGTGGACGAATTTGGGAGTGTGTGTAAAGGTAGAAAGTTGAAAGTGAACATAGAAAAAGAGTAAGGTGATGAGGGTATCAAATGATTTAGATAAAGAAAAATTGGATATCAAATTTGGGAGGAGGAGTATGGAAGAAGTGAATGTTTTCAGTTGGGAGTTGACGTATCAGCGGATAGATTTATGAAGGATGAGGTTAATCATAGAATTGATGAGGGAAAAAAGGTGAGTGGTGCGTTGAGGTATATGTGGAGACAAAGAACGTTATCTATGAAAGTATAGTGGTACCAACACTTTTATATGGGTGTGAAGCTTGGGTTGTAAATGCAGCAGCGATGAGGCAGTTGGAGGCAGTGGAGATGTCCTGTCTAAGGGCAATGTGTGGTGTAAATATTATGCAGAAAATTCGGAGTGTGGAAATTAGGAGAGGGTGTGGAGTTAATAAAAGTATTAGTCAGAGGGCTGAAGAGGGGTTGTTGAGGTGGTTTGGTCATTTAGAGAGAATGGATCAAAGTAGAATGACATGGAGAACGTATAAATCTGTAGGGGAACGAAGGCGGGGTAGGGGTCGTCCTCAAAAGGGTTGGAGGGAGGGGGTAAAGGAGGTTTTGTGGGAGAGGGGCTTGGACTTCCAGCAAGCGTGCGTGAGCGTGTTAGATAGGAATGAATGGAGACGAATGGTATGTGGGACCTGACGATCTGTTGGAGTGTGAGTAGGGTAATATTTAGTGAAGGGATTCATGGAAACCAGTTATTTTATATAGCCAGACTTGAGTCCTGGAAATGGGATGTACAATGCCTGCACTTTAAAGGAGGGGTTTGGGATATTGGCAGTTTTGATGGATATGTTGTGTATTCTTTATACATATAGACTTCTAAACTGTTGTATTCTGAGCACCTCTGCAATAACAGTGATTATGTGTGAGTGAGGTGAAAGTGTTGAATGATGATGAAAGTATTTTCTTTTTGGGGATTTTTTTCTTTTTGGGTCACCCTGCCTCGGTGGGAGATGGCCGACTTGTTAAAAAAAAAAAAATGTATGTGTAGTGTGACCTAAGTGTAAGTAGAAGTAGCAAGTTGTACCTGAAATCTTGCATGTTTATGAGACAGAAAAAAGACACCAGCAGTCCTACCATCATATAAAATAATTACAGGTTTCCGTTTTACACTCACTTGGCAGGACAGTAGTACCTCCCTGGGTGGTTGCTGTCTACCAACCTACTACTTAGGATAAGTATAATTATCAGAGTACGTGTATATATAAAATATGAAACAACTTTAAAATGGAGAGTCGTGCTCACGGAGAATGTAAACAAACTGGGTGGCCCGTGGTGGCCACATTAGAAAGCCAGGTGGGGGGAGCCATATAGCGAGCTTTTGCCATACAGTGGACCCCTGCATTTTGGCGGCCGCGACTTTCGTTAAATCTGACTTTCAACAACTTTTTTCGTTAAAATATAGCCTCGCGGTTCGTGATTGGCCTCGTGATTCAGCAACCATCTGGTACGTGTCCACCCAGCGTCAGCACCACAAAGCCAGTCTCCCGCACCATTCATCAGTGTGCCATTGTTTATCAGCGAGTGACCATCATCGTACGCGTTCATACAATACATTTCATAATATTCCATTCTTTTTTTGTGCTTCCAACTGCTAAATAAGTCACCATGGGCCCAAAGAAAGGTAGTGCCAGCCCTTTGGTGAAAGAAAGTGAGGAACACGATCGAATTAAAGAAAGAAATCATTGAAAAATATGAAAGTGGAGTGCGCGGTTCAGAGCTTGCCAGGATGTATGGCAAACACCATTCAACCATCACTTCGATCATGGCGAAGGGAAAGGAAATCAAGGAAGCTGTTGTTGCAAAAGGGGTAGATATGCTGACAATAAAGAGATCACAAGTACTCGAAGAAGTGGAGAGGTTATTGTTGGTGTGGATTACCCAAAAACAGTTAGCAGGAGATAGTGTTATGCAGCCAATAATTTGTGAAAAGGCAAGGCAGTTGCACGATGATCTCATAAAGAAAATGCCTGCAATGAATGCAATGTTTGTGATTTTAAGGCCAGCAAAGGCTGGTTTCAGAGATTTAAGAAGTGTAGTGGCATACACATGTGGTAAGGTATGGCAAGGCTGCAAATTCTGACAAAAATGCTGCTGAAAAATATGTTCAGGAATTCAAGGAGTACATAGAGGCTGAACAATTCAAACCCCAACAAGTGTTCATTTGTGGCAAAACAGCCCTGTTTTGAAGAAAATGCCAAAGAGGACCTACATCACACAGGAGGAAACGACACTGCCAGGACACATACCTATGAAAGACAGGCTAACTCTCATGTTTTGTAGTAATGCTAGTGGAGATTGCAAAGTAAAGCCTTTACTGGTATATCACTCTGAAAATCCCAGTGTGTTCAAGAAAAACAGTGTCGCCAAGGCTAATTTGTGTGTGATGTAGAAGGCTAACAGTAAGGCATGGGTCACGAGGGAAATTTTCCTAGAGTGGTTCAATGACGTGTTTGGCCCCATTGTGAAGAAATACCTCCTGGAAAATAAATTGGAACTCGAGCGCCTCCAGGTAATGGACAATGCTCCTGCTCATCCTCCAGACTTGGAAGAGCAAATGGTGCAGAAGTTTCGTTTCATCGCAGTGAAATTCGTGCCTCCTAATACCACTCCTCTCCTCCAGCCCATGGACCAGCAGGTCATTTCAAACTTCAAAAAACTGTACACCAAAGTAGTGTTTCAAAAGTGCTTTGAAGTGACCTCAGACACTGAATTGACCTTAAGAGGATTCTGGAAAGATCACTTCAATATCTTCCATTGCATAAACCTTATAGGTAAGGCTTGAGAGGGAGTGACTTTCAGGACTTTAAACTCTGCTTGGAGAAAACAGTGGCCACAGTGTATACAAGAGAGGGATTTTGAAGAGTTTGGGGCTGACTCTGAGGAGCTTATGCCAGTTTCGAAAGTATTGTGGCATTGGGGAATTCCATGGGGTTAGATGTACGTTTCTAGGATATGGAAGAGTTAGTGGAGGACCACAATGAGAAGCTAACCACTACAGAGCTGCAAGAGCTTCATCTACAACAGCAACAGATCACAGCTCAGGAAATTGCTTCAGAGGAGGAGGAGGAGGAGAGAAATGAAGGAAGGTGCCTTCTTCAAAGATTAAGGACATTTGTGCAATGTGGACAAAGTTGCAAACATTTATGGATGAACTTCACCCTGACAAAGCTGTTGCAGGCCATATGGGCAACATGTACAATGACATTGTTGTGTCCCAATTTAGGGAAGTTTTAAAGAAATGCCAGAAACAGAGCTCTCTGGACAGATATTTTGTGCGACAGGGGTCCAGTGACTCTCAAGCTGGTCCCAAGGGTGTTAAAAAGCAAAGAAATGAAGTAACCCCAGAAAAGGATTTGGTACCTGAAGTGTTTATGGAAGGGGATTCCCATTCCAAACAATAGTGTACCTTCATCCTCTCCCCTCCTCCCGTCTTCCATCCACCCAGAAGTCTTCAGCAAAGGTAAGTGTAATGTTATTATTGTTTTATATATGTATGTACTTGGTTTCTCATTGTTTTCTGTATGTAAATCTTTATTTAATTTGATTTTTTTTTTTTTAAATTTTTGGGTGTCTGGAATGGACTAATTGGATTTCCATTATTTCTTATGGGGAAAATAGTTTAGCCATTCATGAATTTTGACTTTCAGGAGACTCTCTGGAATGGATTAATCACGAAACTCAGGGGTCCACTGTAATTTGAAATGTCTATATTAGTGGAACACCGTAAGGTAAAACGCCATAAAACACGACCCTACTGTACACACTGTGTAATATACTTTTTAGGTACATATTTGTTTGCCCATAAGGCCATTGTAAAAAATATGTATGCTATGTACAAATGCCAAAACAAAAATTTTTATTTAAGTATATAGATGCAGAGTTGCATGTTACACAACCTTGTTTACCTGTCTTACTGAGTTCATTGTTATTCATGATGCATTGCATAGACCCACCTAGCCATGCTTTTTTTTCTTGGTGTGAGAAGGTAGCAGGACACCCAGACAGTTGAAGGGAGGCATACAATTGCAGCTAGCAGCCAATTTGAGGCCTATAAAAGCTTATGTTGATATACCTCATGTACAAAACAAGCTTCTGCATATCAATTCCTCATGCACAGTTTAAGGGTTAAAATCAAATTGAATAATATTCATAACTGGGTAAAAAAATTTCAGGTTACTCAGTGTGAAATATTTTTGTCGTTGATGGTGAAATTCCTAGATGGAGATCGGCCAATGTGGCAACGTGGCCTTGCCTTAGAGGTGCTGCACAAGTTGGCTACTCAGCCTAGCTTAGTGCAGTCATTTTGTACCAACTATGATATGAAGCCTCATGCTACTAAAATATTTCAGGTATGCCATACCCTACTCTTATTTTTTAGCCATTTTCTTCATAATCAAATTCCAAATAGGATTTGTATTTTGTTTATATAAATATCTGATGCTGTATTACATTTTAATTCATCTTTTATGTTAATATTTTTTCAGGATATAGTAAACAGCTTGGGTGCCTTTGTGCAATCACTTTTCATTTCACCACAATCAAGTGTTGGTGCACAGCTGGGTGGTGGGAGTCAGAGTGGAGCACAGGGTCAGCCTCCAGCATTGTTGGCTGGAATGCCTGTAGGCCCAGGAGTTTCCCCTCAGGCAGCTTTCTTCTACAGGGGTGTTTATCTTCCCCTATGTGTTAATATTCCCACAGGACAGGCAAAGTCTTCGTAGTAAGTTCACCTTCCCATTATTTATTTTGATCACATTTACTTGAATAATATCATCAGAGAATATTATTGCATGTTCTCCTCATAGGTCCTTAATAAGATATGACCATAATAAAATTAAGTTATGAACTCTCAAAACAGAAAATAATTGTAAAATAAGAACCAGGAGTCAACTTCTTATAAAAATTGTGTCAAAACATGCTTCATATATGAATAAAGTAAACTGATGAAAGAGTTACTAGAAACAATCTGAAAAACTCAAAAATTAAAAGAAGGGTGTTCAAAATTATAACTGCAGGGGACATCAGTGTAAGTACTCGAAACCTGATGCAAATATTGGTATATTCTCCAAACAAAAACTAATATTTAAAGCAGAGAGAAGATTCTATAACATCTAATAACACACATCAACCCAAATAAAATGAACTATAGTATAGTTAACAACTATATTAGGAGAAACTTTCTTAATATAGGTAATAGTAAGGAAGAATATTGAATGAACTTTTTGAGTGAAAATGAATTTTTATGGAATACTGTGTTGTAGAGTTGGTAAATGGAATATGCATTCAAATGATAAAACAATGTAGAACTTTTCATCACCATGTATTTGATTTACAGTTTAGAAATGCTGGATAAGCTTGAGCCACCAACAATACCTGATGGATATGGTGTGAGTGTAGCATATTACTGCCTTCTTGATATTATCCGCTCCATCCACTTGGTCATGATGGGCCCTCAAGCCACCAGTGATAGTGCTGCAGGTTAGTAACACTCATTGCAGTGTTAGTAATGTACTGCTCTATTTTATTTTTCAAACTCTAAATTGATATGTTTCTGTTCCTGTCTGATGCCACCTACTTTGCAACAATCTCTTATTATACTCTGGCATTCTTAAGTTCAACCCTTTCCTGAAAGTTCATCACCTCTATTTTCTTAACCCCTCTACCCATGCCTCTTTTTTTCTTTTTCCTTTTCCCAAATCTCATTTATACTAAAATTTCTAGTTTTCCACCCCTCTTTAGTCTTCTCTTTCTCTACACTTTATGCCCTCACACTTATATTGAAGCTTTATTCTACACGCTTCTTCTTTCATGATTTCTATTGTTCACATATGGCCAGTATGAGAGTATCAGACTGGATCCACAAGAGAGACTGCCATATTCTTCATTTCATTGTCTAACAATTAAGCAACCAAGCAAGGTCTTACTCTTGGAAGAAAAAGAATAGTAGGGCTGCTTGCCCTATAATCTAAATACATGAATGTTTATTAGTTTACCTTACTGTAGTTATGTATTTCATGCTTCACATAAGTTATTTTCCAGGGTGTAGCTCATCTTAGCATTGTAAAGTAACATCTGTTACTTCCAGTTGGTTCTGCTTTCATTATATTCATCTGCCAGTATCAAGGTCACTCACTCATCTGTAATATCTGATTCATGTTTCATTCATAATAATTTTTGTGTTAGGACTGATACTCCTCAGCACAGGTATATGAGAAGGTTTAGAAATTTTTTGTTAACAAATTATTACCAATGTTTCTTTTTATACAGGAGTGAGTGAACAGTACAATCCAAGTGAGGAAGAACGCAAGATTCATGAACAGCTGGTGAACTCTGCTTGGTGTGGTCTTCTAGCTGCTCTCACTATACTGTTAGAAGCTTGCACTGATGAAGCTGCTACTGAAAATATTCTTAAAGCTATACAGGTTTGTCAGTCATACAGTCATTGGTAAATAGTTATATATTATATTCATTTTATGTAAGAAAGTTATTTGTTACCTCTTGGGAAATGAAGGAATGATATTGAATGATAGTCACTTGAGCAATGGGTAGTATTGAGTGCTTATTATTGCAGCTTCACTTCTGGATAATGGTGGTGGTGGTGGTGGTGGCATCATCATCATTGTCATCATCATCACCACCATCACTGTCATCACCATGTCACTGCCATCCTGACTTAAAACTTTGCCTTTCAAACTTTTTATGCTACAGTGGTACCTTGAGTTTAGAACTTATTTCATTCCAGACGGCTGTTCAAGTGCTGTTACCGAATGAACATATTCCCATCAGGAATAATGTAAATTAGATTAATCTGTTTCAGTCTCCCAAAAATACACTTACAAAAGCACTTGCAAAAATACACTTACATAATTGGTTGAGTTAGGAGCAGTTTTAAACTCGAGGTTCCACTGTACTTTTGTATATTTTTCACCGTTTTTACTGAAGCATTCTTCAGCATATCTACCATTACTTTCATAGTTGTTTCTTGTGTAGGCAAGAAAGCTCTAACTTTTTTAAATACAGTGGACCCCCGCTTAACGATCACCTCCCAATGCGACCAATTATGTAAGTGTATTTATGTAAGTGCGTTTGTACGTGTATGTTTGGGGGTCTGAAATGGACTAATCTACTTCACAATATTCCTTATGGGAACAAATTCGGTCAGTACTGGCACCTGAACATACTTCTGGAATGAAAAAATATCGTTAACCGGGGGTCCACTGTACTATGTATTTAATGGCTGAAGTACAGCACTCCTTATTAATGGAGCTTTATAATTTGGTCACATCTCTAGAATTATAGTATCACAAATTAATAACATCTGTGTTGATAGTTCATCTCTTTTGGAACTTTTCTTTTGCTGTTAACCTAAATTTAGTTATTCTTTGGGAATTCTGTTCTTTGAATAAGAATTTTTTCTTCTGCCTCTGTCTACTTCATTGCATCTTGTGATGGCTGTTGATCTCTAAAATACTTCTTCCACTACAGTTTCTAATTGCTTGTACCATAGGTAAAATATTACTTTCATTTTCCATGTCTTCTTTACTTCCTTCAGTTGCAATTTTTTGTCAGCTCTACTGAGTTTGTTAAAAAACTCAGGCTTTAGTACTGTAAAGAATGTTTTTGTAAATAAATATAGATTTATTCTTCAACAGACATTTGCCAGTCTGGCAGGCAAGCTTGAACTGACAACACCACGTGATGCCTTTATCACTGCCCTGTGCAAATCATGCCTCCCTCCCCACTACACATTGACAGTACTCAATAATGCCAGTGTGGCAGCTGCAGCCTCGGCTTCCTCAGTGTCTCGTGGACATCAACGCTCGCCGAGTTCTGAGTCTCAGCACCAGTACTATGACTCAGAGGTGAGTCTCATTGAAACTCATGTTAGATTCTCACACTGAAGATAAGCTATATACAAGCTTCAGTAATGTCTGTCCTGGGACCATAATGAACTCTGTCAAAGGTAAATGACAAAATACTACTAATAGATATACTCAGCAATATTAGAATGTTTTATATAGATGTATTTTTATATACTGTTGAACTATTATATCTAACACAGATGTTGCCAAGAGTTGTTATTAAGCCCAGAAGAGCTACACATTTGTCAAGTTGAAGTGTTTAACCTCCTTTATAGTACAGTAGTATCATCCTCCATTTTTTCATTTTTTGAAATACCATTGTCCTTCAATGAATTAATGCCTGGGTAAACTTCCACATAGTATCTGGTGCCTTTATTGGAGACTGTCATTAGCTCTCTTTAACCTATTACATCACTTATGCCCATAGGAATGCCCCTACTTGTGGACACACCGATTTGAAGTATGTAAACACTCTGTCGTCTGTGGGATATTATAGAAAGCAGTTTTTCAAACTAATTTATTTGCTTGTGGAACATGACTACCAGTTAATATTTTGAAAAATAGTAAATATCAGATGATGACATTCGAGAAGTTTTGGATTGTTTCCTTGATAGGCTTTTATACATGTTTTGTATAATATCAGTTAAACTTACCTGATATTGGTACACGTTTTTAAGAGTTGTGAGTGCATTATAAAATTAAATTGTTATACTGCATTTAACTAGGCTATGTAGGTAGCTTTTTTCTACCCCCATCTGACATGATGAAGAAATGGATTTGAAATATTAATTATCAATAGTTTTTGTAATACTGAAGGCTTTAGCAAGCACAAAGACCAGTTTAATGAGCTGTAAAGGGTGCCTTTTACTGGCAGGTACGTCATCAAGTTGTTGCCGTGGGGACGGCACTCGCTACACCGTCTCTGCCAGTTGGGGCACAGCAGGGACCAGTGATGTTAACCAACAAGAACCTGCAATGTATGAGAGCCACACTCTCCATGGCACACTGTCATGGTGGTGTCTTAGGTGCAGCCTGGCACCTACTGCTTACTACACTACAGCATCTTGTTTGGATTCTTGGTCTAAAGCCCTCAACTGGTGGAAGCTTGAAGGTAACACTCTTGACACTAATAGTAATGCACTGATTTTCTTTTTCTGGCATTTAAAAAAAACCATACCACTGGCGGGGTATGGTTTGTTTGCAATCGTGTCATTACGATTTCGTGAGTCATGTTGACGGCTTTGAGGGGACTTGAGCTAGAGTTCGTCACGGCCACGCTAGCTGGAGATTCGTCTGTAAAAACTTGCATTTGTGGTCACAGTGGTGCCTATGCTAACCTTCCTATGGTGTAGAAATATACCTAGTTGGACGAATCTTATTGTGGCTAGCTGGTCCAGTGGCTAACGCGACGGTCTGGAGTTTTGAGACTTTCTGATCGCGGTTCTATCCCCGCCCATGGTATGGTTTGTTTGCAATCGTGTCATTGTGATTTCGTGAGTCTGGCATTTAAGTTTTTTTTTTATCATTAACAACGTACGTATTAAAAAAAGAAATTATTTGATCAGCATTTTTACGCCATCTCCTTTTCTCTTAATCCTGATCATTGTCCACATTAATTAATTGCTTAACAATACTACTTTATTTATGATTTTTTTCATTAATTTAATTTTTATCATTTCTTCGCTTAATTGTATTGTACGAGTGTCTTCTTAAATCACTACAGGCAGGGCGGAGCACTGCAGAGACCAATGCTGTGATCACAACAGCAGTGATTGCAGATTTACCAGTTCTTTCATCAATGTTAAGTCGCCTGTTTGAGTCTTCTCAGCATCTGAATGATGTTGCTCTACATCACCTCATTGATGCACTCTGTCAGCTGTCTAGGGAGTCCATGGAGCTGGCATACACCAATAGGGAGCCATCACTATTTGCTGTTGCCAAATTACTTGAGACTGGTAAGAAACTCATGCTTACAAACATATTTATACCTCTATATATATTTATGCGGTCAGAGGAAAAAGGATGTGGGAAAAAATGTTGGTAATGGATTGAATGTTGACTGCTTGGCAGGTGATCTCTAATCATTTCACCATTTTTCAGGTGTAGTCAATTTGGGACGAGTGGAGGTGTTGTGGAGACCAGTGACCAACCACTTGTTGGATGTATGCCAACATCCACACGTCCGGATGCGGGAGTGGGGTGTAGAGGCTGTTACCTACTTAGTGAAAGCAGCACTCACTCATAAGCACAACCCACCACTTAAAGACAACCAGGTAAATATTTATAGTGTACAATTTTTTTTAATTATCAGACAAAATAACCAGATTGTATTTTCAAAATTTACATGATTGTTACAATATTAGTTGACATTTATTTCATACAAATTGAAAAGTCCCTGGTTATGCAGGGCATTTTGGGCAGACCAAAACTAGAACTTAATATTATTTATAGAATTGGCAGCCAAAGCTCTCCTTTAAATCTTATGTGCTGATAAAATGATCAGTTATCAATGGCAGATCTCCAGTCCAAAATGTGCTTAGCATTTTTCACTTAAAATCTGAAATCCCTTGTTAGCTATTCAGTTTGTGAAATAATTCTAGAGTATAATTCTCATGTATTAACTGGTGATTACTGTAGTTTAGGAGTAGATATGGGTGAAAAGTTGTAAATTGTATCCTCATAAAAGAGCATTTATCAAATCAAATCATATCAGAACAAATTTTATTTCTTTGTGTAGTATACAAAGTGTAGTTTACATGTAATAAAATATTATGAAACTCAAAAAAAGCCAATAGCATGCATGTGCATTTCAGGTAGACTAATTCTAATGCTTACAGATGTATGATTGTTTGAATGGCATTTTTTAAGCTCTGATTCTGCATTGATCCTGAAGGAGTATAATCCTAAATTAGTACTTAAATGTATCTTATTGTATAAAATGTCATGTGTAAATCATCTTGTTGCAGAAGTTGCAAACTCTACTACTGTCACCACTGTCTGAGGTGTCGTTGGTAGGCCATCCTGATGTACGTCAGAAACAACTGGAATCTCTTCTACACATTCTTCACTCCTGTGGAGAGCTCCTACATCATGGGTGGCCTCTCATCCTTAATATTATTGGAGCCATCAATGACAATCATAGGTAAAAGCAGATAATAGTCTTTGCTTATAATTTTTGAGATATTTGTTAACTAAATTGTGGTTGATCCCTCAGGCTGAGGTCTCAAGTCAAGTTTTAATCAGTACTCTGTTCTAACTCAGATACCAGGTAACATTTAATTAAAATAACATTTATTCACAAGAAAATCAGTATATGCTTGTTGTACGAGTAATCAGTAATTACAGATACACCTACCATCCGACTTACGACCTGCTCGACATACGACCATTTGACTTACGACCTTGTTTTCTATGCCAAATTTCTGGGAAATAAACAGCTGTTTGTGTTGTACACAGTGTTTATCCTATACCTTACAGTATAAAATACAGTACTAACAGCATAAAAAGGAAAGTAAAAAATTAAATATCAAAATAAAACAATAAAATAAAGTCATTACAAAAATGTGATGTTGATATTCATTAGTAAGGCTCGACGTAGGCTCGACTTACGTCCATTTTGACTTATGACCTGTTTGTCGGAACCGAACTTGGTTGTAAGTCGGATGGTACCTGCACTCGTAATTGAATAATTTATGTATTTGTGAAGTCAGTTTTATGTACAAAGAAGTCTGCAGGAATGGTAAAGTTTAACCCCAGCTAAAAAAAAAAAAAGTAATGAAGCTGGGAGATAGGTAAGAGAACCAGACACACTTCTATCTGGAGAAAAAAAAGTGCAAGTCATGTAAAGAGTTAATGATGAAACCTAAGAATAACCATTTCCTCAGACCTGTCCTCCAAAACACACACACAAAAATAACTGTCAGTTGCAGTTGTCAGGTCACCATTCCACAACATTGGATTATGATACATGAACTTTAACCTGTAAGATATAAAAATTGAAAAGCAAAGTCAGGAAATGTGGTAAAAATACAGTTCAGTAAAAAAATTCTTCCATATTTTATTAGTAAACTAACACTTTCATAAACTAATGTATTATAGTTTTAAACAACACATGAGCAAACACTAGGACATATTTATTAGAAGTGATCAAGGTCCCAGACCAAAATGTTTTTCTAGTAAATTATATCCCAGTATTTGCTCATGTGTCACTTTAAACCACCTTGTAGGTGTCAGTTACCAAGGTTTATATTAAGATGAATACTGTACTTTTCACTTAGCTTCAAGAGGTACAACTTGACATAATTAAACCAAAGAGTTTTCTTTAATCCCTGTCTTAGAAATTAAAGTATCTTTCACCATCGCTGGCACACTCGGCTCACACACTGAGGTCCAGAGTTCACATCTCTGGTACGGCTGGATAACATTAGGACATGTTTCCATAAGACACCTGCTGTCCATGTTCACCCATCAGTATAAAATGGGTACCTGGGTGTTAGTCGACTGGTGTGGGTCACATCTTAGGACAAACTGACCTAATTTGCCCAAAATGCTCTGCATAACAAGCAGCTTTCTATATAGTAGTATGTCATTGATATCAGCTAGGCCTGTATACCTTGTACATATACTTATAGAAATAAAGTTATTATTAGTAGTAGTAGTAGTAGTATACAAATGATATGCAGTCTTATTGATCCCTCTTTGTACGACAGTCAACATTGTTTCAGAATTTTTTATAATATCTTATTGTTTTCAGTGAACATCTGATACGACTAGCCTTCCAGTGCCTGCAGCTGGTTGTCACAGACTTCTTACCCCTTATGCCATGGGCCTGCCTGCCACTAACTGTTGATACAGCTGCCAAGTTTGGCTCACAGACTCAGGAACTAAACATCTCTCTCACTGCTATTGGCTTAATGGTAAGTTGTTTCTGAAAATAAAAAATATTTGGGTAAAAGTCAATGCTAACTGAGAAGACATTGAAAGTTGTATGTTATTTTAGAAAAGATGTATTAGGAAAGATTTTTTTAAAGTTTGGCTGTAGAATACTTTGAGATTCCACAGGCATACCTCACTAATATGGCAAGTTAGGCTCCAGACTGCCACTGTAAAACTCATCACAGCCTTTTTTACACTTACCAGTGCATATAAAAGCCTAAACACATGTTTACACTATCAAATATGTATTAAGTGCACAATAGCATTAGGCCTGTGTGGTAGTACATTGTATTTTTATTCTATATTCATAATCATTTTGAATTGTAATGGTGACTGTGTTTTGTTCTTTGGGTCACCATGCCTAGGTGGGAGATGGCCAGCTTGTTAAAAGTGTATTCGTAATCGTATTTCTTTAATTTACTGGTTGATATGCATTGTATAATTAGGAGGAGGTATGGAGTTACTAAAAGTATTAAGAGGACTGAGGTGGTTTGGTCATTTAGAGAGGGTGAAGCAAAATAGCATGACTTGGAGGGTGTATAAATCTGTAGTGGAGGGGAGGAGGGGTAGTGGTTGTCCTAGGAAAGGATGGAGGGAGGGGGTAAAAGAGGTTTTATGTGCAAGGGGCTTGGACATACAGCAGGCATGTGTGAGCATGTTAGATAGGAGTGAATGGAGACAAATGGTTTTTGAGACCTGATGAGCTGTTGGAGTGTGAGCAGGGTAATATTTTGTAAGGGATTCAGGGAAACCATTTAGCTGGACTTAAATCCTGGGGGTGAGAAGTACATTGCTGGCACTTCAGTGGAGGGGTTTGGGATATTGGTTGTTTAGAATGGCACCTAAACTGTTGTATCTGAGCACCTCTGCAAAGACAGTGGGAAACGGCCAATGTGTTGAAAACAAAGATTTCTTCAATTCAAAACTGTAGTATTTAGAATTTTTCATAAATATTCAAAAAATAAACAGTGATTATGTATGAGTGAGGTGAAAGTGTTGAATGATGATGAAAGTATTTTCATTTTGGGGATTTTCTTTATTTTTAGGTCACCCTGCCTAGGTGGGAGATGGCCTACTTGTTGAAAAAAAAAAAGTTAGATTTTTGGTATGATTTCCAAAATTCAGAATCTTCTGAATAAGGGTAAAGATTTTGATTTTCTGTTTAACCCTTTCAGGGTTGCAACCCCTACGTCCAATTTTACATGCTTTCTTATGTAAAAAAAAAAATTAGATTTACATTCGGAGCACTATGCATGTGAACGTAGTGCTCCGAATGTTTACTGGACAGTTTAAGGGTTAAACTGCCCAGTAAAGCTATCAGAAATTGGTAATTTGGACAATTTCACATAAAGTTCAAGAAATGCCAGTTTCAAAATAGGGTCCAGAAGAAACAATACAGACATTTCTGGCACTAAAATAACATTTCTATATTCATTAGTTGTGACTCCAGGCCCCTCTCATATTATACTTACTTTCTATTTTGAATTTTTATTCACACAATAAATAGAAGATTTACTGTTATGCAGACTACTGCATTATTGTAATAATTGTATAAATAATGTTGCTGCATTCCAAATGCGTATTAGACTGGCCAGTTGGATGTGTATTGTTCAAGTGATGTCATTTGTGTACTCTGGAATATCAACAAAAAATCAAACATTTCCACTACATTGAGCTCACTTTCAAACTACTTTCAATCCTTACAAGATCATCTCTGTTTGTGTAATACATATATTTTCCATTCTGTCATATGAGTCCAAGAAACCAAGAATACAGTCATATAAACCATATGAAAATACAATGCAAAATTGCTGTTTTACACCAAAAACATGGTCACAGTTTTTACTTTCTCATGCAATGTGTGAGGCAGGATTTTTATATGATGTACGCTTACCTCATAGACCCATTCTCTCATATCTAGACCCAAATTTACTGCTCACAGCTCATCTGAGTGACCTGAGCTCATGGCATAGTACTACAGGACCAACACTGGCTTCAAAACCATAGTACAATGGGACCAACACCGAAAGGGTTAAAGAATATCTCTAAATCACACGAAAATACATGTACAACAGAATGCTTTTCCAAATATTAAATTTGTAATAATATAGAAATTAGACTGATATTGCACAAATTTTGGCTCACTTGTTAAAACTGTGTTTACCTTTCAGTGGAACATCTCCGACTATTTCTACCAGAACCAAGAGAAGCTTCGTGCCTCCCTGACTTCAGATAACCAAGTCTTTCCGGACTTTCCAGGCGTCCCTAATATGCCTCCCTTTGATAAACTATGGATGTGCCTGTATGCTAGACTGGGTATGTGCAAGCTTCGATTGATTTAATATGCTGACTTAAATAACCTTTTCTAGTGCTAATGTACTAGATAATCCCTGTCAAGAGGATACTACATATATTAAGTCTTGTGACTTTCTATATATCTTTCTTTCAACACACCGGCTGTATCCCACCGAGGCGGGGTGGCCCAAAAGGAAAAACGAAAGTTTCTCCTTTTACATTTAGTAATATATACAGGAGAAGGGGTTACTAGCCTCTTGCTCCCGGCATTTTAGTCCTCTTACAACACGCATGGCTTACAGAGGAAGAATTCTGTTCCACTTCCCCATGGAGGTAAGAGGAAATAAACAAGACCAAGAACTAGAAAGAAAATAGAAGAAAACGCAAAGGGGTGTGTGTATATATATGCTTGTACAAGTATGTGTAGTATGACCTAAGTGTAAGTAGAAGTAGCAAGACGTACCTGAAATCTTGCATGTGTAGGAGACAGAAAAAAAAAAAAAGACACCAGCAATCCTACCATCGTGTAAAACAATTACAGGCTTCAGTTTTACACTCACCTGGCAGGACGGTAGTACCTCCCTGGGCGGTTGCTGTCTACCAACCTACTACCTACTTTCTATATATGTCAGTATTATATACAGTACCTAGATTAGTCTTGTTTGTTTATTATTCATTTTCATTTCATTTAAAGTTAAAAAAACCATACCATGGGTGGGGATAGAACCACTGATCAAAGAGTCATAAAACTCCATGCTTTATGATGTCACCTTATATGTTAGACACACTGATATGAACAAAAACCTATGAAATCCATTTTGTTCTTAGAAAGAGAGTACAATATACATATAATATATTGTACAGTATACGTACACAAATAACCTGCACATGGACTGAAACTTATGATAACACTTCAGTCTGACTTAGACCATTAACTAGTTACTAGTTAATGGTCCTGGTTGGACAAGTTTCAGTCTCCTGCTTTTTTTTTTTTTTTTGTTCCATTCACAGTATTGTGCATTTTTATTCTTTATTGTACATTTGACTAGCAAAACCATAACAGCACAATTGTAAATATATGTTGAATATAAATCCAGGTATTAAATGCTGAACGAGTAATGTTGTTTCATGCCTGAAGGTTTGGACTTTTTTAATTTGCTTGTACTTCACATTTTTTTATTTTACCTTCCATTCATCTCAGATTTGTTGTAATTAACATAACTTATAGGTTTAGGAGTTGTTATTCCAGTATAATGTGAAACAGACCATTTTGAGATTTGTAAGATTGTGTCTTGATGCAGGTGACTTGTGTGTTGACTCTAGACCTGCAGTTCGTAAGTCAGCCGGCCAAACACTCTTCTCCACCATTGCTGCCCATGGTGCATTGCTTCATAATCAGACTTGGCAAGCAGTCTTGTGGCAGGTGAGAAAAGAATAATGACTACTGTATTTTATCTTTCCTTACATATCTCTCACATTAGAATGATAATTGTACTTGTGTGTACTTATACCTAAATAAACTTAATTAGTTGGGGCACCGTGCATCAGCTTCTAGGCTCCGGAAAATCTGTTGTTGTTGACTCAGGCAGAGGTGTATAAACTTATCCAGCATATCTGTCTTGCTACTAACACATGGAGGACTGAGCCTCCACCACTCCTCATGCTGAATGACCCACATGTGTTTCACACTTCACATAAAGTATAAGTAATTCATATTTTTATGTGAGCCCAGGAGTGGCAGAATTACTCACTTTTAATGCAGGTACCAGAATGAGTGGTTTAGAAAGACAAGTAAGCAAACACTATGACATTTTTATTAGAAAACGTTTTGGTCCTGGGACCTTGATCACTTCTAACATACAGAGGTAGAAAGACATTATATATATAGGCAGAGAGTGAGGTGTGATCAAGGTCCCAGGACCGAAACGTTTTCTAATAAATATGTCATAGCGTTTGCTTATGTGTCTTTCTAAACCAACTTGTCGGTATTTATTACCAAGGTTTATACCACCAGCATGAGTACAGGAGGGCCTTGCTTGCACAGTGGGTTAGATTCCAGGCTAATGCTGTAAAGCAAATATTGCTGTAAAGTGACTCATAGCGATTTTTCATTTTCAAATGAATATAAAAGTCTGATAACATGTTTACACTATCATATATTATGTAAAGTAAAAGGACACAAGTGCAACTAATGTGACATTTTATTGTGGCAACGTTTCGCTCTCTAGGAGCTTTATCAAGCCATTACAAACAATACATGGACACAGAGGGTATATAAAGGCAAAATTAAATTTGGAAATTGATACCTATCATATATTAAGTCAGCAGTATACCTAGGCCTAAAATAATGCATATACAGTACACACATTGCTTACTTTAAAACATTTTCATCCTTAGCTTACAGTGAACGGTGAATACATTTATTGTAGGAAGTCTGAATAAATGAAGAATGGGTATTATTGAAAACCACTGTATTAGTGAAATGCTGTAAAGTGAACCACTGTAAAGCAGGGCCTCCCTTGTTGAAAAAAAAAAAAAAAAAAAATTCTAGTAGTAGGTTGGTAGACAGCAACCACCAGGGAGGTACTACCGTCCTGCCAAGTGAATGTAAAACAAAAGCCTGTAATTGTTTTACATGATGGTAGGATTGCTGGTGTCTTTTGTCTGTCTCATAAATATGCAAGATTACAGGTACGTCTTGCTACTTCTACTTACACTTAGGTCACACTACACATACATGTACACGTTTATTTATACACACTCATCTGAGTTTTCTTTGATTTTATCTTAATAGTTCTTGGTCTTATTACTTTTCCTTTTATATCCATGGGGAAGTGGAATAAGAATCTTTCCTCCGTAAGCCATGCGTGTTGTAAAAGTCAACTAAAATGCCGGGAACAATGGGCTAGTAACCCCTTTTCCTGTAAAGATTACTAAAAAGAATAAGAGAAGAAGAAAATTGTGCTAAGTGAAAGATAAGAAAGAGATGATTGTGGATGTTATGAATGAGAAGAAGCTGGATGTCCTGGCTTTAAGTGAAACGAAGCTGAAGGGGGTGGGAGAGTTTCAATGGAGAGGAATAAATGGGATTAGGTCAGGGGTTTCAAATAGAGTTAGAGCTAAAGAAGGAGTAGCAATAATGTTGAAGGATAAGCTATGGCAGGAAAAGAGGGACTATAAATGTATTAATTCAAGGATTATGTGGAGTAAAATAAAGATTGGATGTGAAAAGTGGGTTATAATAAGCGTGTATGCACCTGGAGAAGAAAGAAGTGTAGAGGAGAGAGAGAGATTTTGGGAAATGTTGAGTGAATGCATGGGGAGTTTTGAATCAAGTGTGAGAGTAATGGTGGTTGGGGCTTTCAATGCTAAAGTGGGTAAAAATGTTATGGAGGGAGTAGTAGGTAAATTTGGGGTGCCAGGGGTAAATGTAAATGGGGAGCCTTTAATTGAGCTATGTGTAGAAAGAAATTTGGTAATAAGTAATACATATTTTATGAAAAAGAGGATAAATAAATATACAAGGTATGATGTAGCACATAATGAAAGTAGTTTGTTAGATTATGTATTGGTGGATAAAAGATTGATGGGTAGGCTCCAGGATGTACATGTTTATAGAGGGGCAACTGATATATCAGATCATTATTTAGTTGTAGCTACAGTTAGAGTAAGAGGTAGATGGGAAAAGAGGAAGGTGGCAACAACAAGTAAGAGGGAGGTGAAAGTGTATAAACTAAGGGAGGAGGAAGTTCGGGGAAGATATAAGCGACTGTTGGCAGAAAGGTGGGCTAGTGCAAAGATGAGTAGTGGGGGGGTTGAAGAGGGTTGGAATAGTTTTAAAAATGCAGTATTAGAATGTGGGGCAGAAGTTTGTGGTTATAGGAGGGTGGGGGCAGGTGGAAAGAGGAGTGATTGGTGGAATGATGAAGTAAAGGGTGTGATAAAAGAGAAAAAGTTAGCTTATGAGAGGTTTTTACAAAGAAGTGTTATAAGAAAAGCAGAGTATATGGACAGTAAAAGAAAGGTGAAGAGAGTGGTGAGAGAGTGCAAAAGCAGAGCAGATGATAGAGTGGGAGAGGCACTGTCAAGAAATTTTAATGAAAATAAGAAAAAAATTTGGAGTGAGTTAAACAAGTTAAGAAAGCCTAGGGAAAGTATGGATTTGTCAGTTAAAAATAGAGTAGGGGAGTTAGTAGATGGGGAGAGGGAGGTATTAGGTAGATGGCGTGAATATTTTGAGGAACTTTTAAATGTTGAGGAAGAAAGGGAGGTGGTAATTTCATGCACTGGTCAGGGAGGTATACCATCTTTTAGGAGTGAAGAAGAGCAGAATGTAAGTGTGGGGGAGGTACGTGAGGCATTACGTAGAATGAAACGGGGTAAAGCAGCTGGAACTGATGGGATCATGACAGAAATGTTAAAAGCAGGGGGGATATAGTGTTGGAGTGGTTGGTCCTTTTGTTTAATAAATGTATGAAAGAGGGGAAGGTACCTAGGGATTGGCGGAGAGCATGTATAGTCCCTTTATATAAAGGGAAAGGGGACAAAAGAGATTGTAAAAATTATAGAGGAATAAATTTGTTGAGTATACCAGGAAAAGTGTATGGTAGGGTTATAATTGAAAGAATTAGAGGTAAGACAGAATGTAGGATTGCGGATGAGCAAGGAGGTTTCAGAGTGGGTAGGGGATGTGTAGATCAAGTGTTTACATTGAAGCATATATGTGAACAGTATTTAGATAAAGGTAGGGAAGTTTTTATTGCATTTATGGATTTAGAAAAGGCATATGATAGAGTGGATAGGGGAGCAATGTGGCAGATGTTGCAAGTACAGTGGACCCCCGGTTAATGATATTTTTCACTCCAGAAGTATGTTCAGGTGCCAGTACTGACCGAATTTGTTCCCATAAGGAATATTGTGAAGTAGATTAGTCCATTTCAGACCCCCAAACATACACATACAAACGCACTTACATAAATACACTTACATAATTGGTCGCATTCGGAGGTGATCGTTATGCGGGGGTCCACTGTACATGGAATAGGTGGTAAGTTACTAAATGCTGTAAAGAGTTTTTATGAGGATAGTGAGGCTCAGGTTAGGGTGTGTAGAAGAGAGGGAGACTACTTCCCGGTAAAAGTAGGTCTTAGACAGGGATGTGTAATGTCACCATGGTTGTTTAATATATTTATAGATGGGGTTGTAAAAGAAGTATATGCTAGGGTGTTCGGGAGAGGGGTGGGATTAAATTATGGGGAATCAAATTCAAAATGGGAATTAACACAGTTACTTTTTGCTGATGATACTGTGCTTATGGGAGATTCTAAAGAAAAATTGCAAAGGTTATTGGATGAGTTTGGGAATGTGTGTAAAGGTAGAAAGTTGAAAGTGAACATAGAAAAGAGTAAGGTGATGAGGGTATCAAATGATTTAGATAAAGAAAAATTGGATTTCAAATTGGGGAGGAGGAGTATGGAAGAAGTGAATGTTTTCAGATACTTGGGAGTTGACGTGTCGGCGGATGGATTTATGAAGGATGAGGTTAATCATAGAATTGATGAGGGAAAAAAGGTGAGTGGTGCGTTGAGGTATATGTGGAGTCAAAAAATGTTATCTATGGAGGCAAAGAAGGGAATGTATGAAAGTATAGTAGTACCAACACTCTTATATGGATGTGAATCTTGGGTGGTAAATGCAGCAGCGAGGAGACGGTTGGAGTTAGTGGAGATGTCCTGTCTAAGGGCAATGTGTGGTGTAAATATTATGCAGAAAATTCAGAGTGTGGAAATTAGGAAAAGGTGTGGAGTTAATAAAAGTATTAGTCAGAGGGCAGAAGAGGGGTTATTGAGGTGGTTTGGTCATTTAGAGAGAATGGATCAAAGTAGAATGACATGGAAAGCATATAAATCTATAGGGGAAGGAAGGCGAGGTAGGGGTCGTCCTCGAAAGGGTTGGAGAGAGGGGGTAAAGGAGGTTTTGTGGGCAAGGGGCTTGGACTTCCAGCAAGCGTGCGTGAACGAATGGTACTTGGGACCTGACGATCTGTTGGAGTGTGAGCAGGATAATATTTAGTGAAGAGATTCAGGGAAACCGGTTATTTTCATATAGTCGGACTTGAGTCCTGGAAATGGGAAGTACAATGCCTGCACTTTAAAGGAGGGGTTTGGGATATTGGCAGTTTGGAGGGATATGTTGCGTATCTTTATACGTATATGCTTCTAAACTGTTGTATTCTGAGCACCTCTGCAAAAACAGTGATTATGTGTGAGTTAGGTGAAAGTGTTGAATGATGATGAAAGCATTTTCTTTTTGGGGATTTTCTTTCTTTTTTGGGTCACCCTGCCTCGGTGGGAGACAGCCAACTTGTTGAAAAAAAAAAAAAAAAATTCTAGACTGCAGTAGGGGCAGTAATCCTATGACCATTAATTAGATATATAACCTAGTCACTGGCTCTGCAGTCTTGAACACACACTGAATAAGATAGAAGCTTGGATATTTGTGAACTACACATATATGGGATTGTACAATAGGCTAAAATCAAATTAGAAATTAAAACTAGCCTCTGAGTGGGGTGTTCAGCTTGGAGCTATAAGTTTGCTAGCATGATGTGATAACCATTCCACAACATGAGGACAACCTCTGCATCACTTTGTATGGCACTTATATAGCTTGGCTACAATATGTAATTGGTCAAATTATATCACCTCTTATATATTCTGATTCAGTTTCATTATCTGCAGATGAGATTATCTTGGTCTGTAGGTGAAATGGCCTCTCGATATATTCTTTCTTTCAACACACCGGCCATATCCCACTGAGGCGGGGTGGCCCAAAAGGAAAAACGACATTGTATATTACTTAGCAAATCATCTGAAAATTAAATTTGGAAATTTTTGCTTGTACAGTATTTGAAAAATAAAAATCAGATAAATTAAGATTTTTAAGTATCAGTTTTAAATTTGGGAAAATTCTGAATAGGGGAGATAATGTGCTACTGTATGCCTTTATTAACTTTCCAAAGGTGCTGTTTCCATTGCTTGACAAAGTACGGCAGCTGTCAGATTCTGCAAGCACAGATAAGGTAGACCAAGGCGGCAATATTCTTATTCATCACTCGCGCAATACGCAACAAAAGCAGTGGGCTGAAACACAGGTATGTATGGTTGGTATATGTATCGATGTTGATAAATGAGATACTTGTGCAACATTTGGGTATCTTTATACTGGAAACATTTTACCACACAGGGCTTCTTCAGTCTAGTGCAGAAAAAGGTAGAAGATGAGGAGGAGTTTGAGGTACTCAGTCCCTCAGCCTGGAGTTGATGTGTTCAGTCCATCAGTTTTGACTGAACACATCGACTCCAGGCTGAGGGACTGATAACCTCGAACTCCTCCTTGTCTTCCACCTTTCTCTGCATTGGACTGAAGAAGCCACTGGCTGGCGACATGTTTCCAGAATAAAGATACCCAAACGTTGCACAAGTGTCTCATTTATCAACTTGTGGATTTTGTAAGCCATTTATTCACACGTATCAGTGTACTTTGAAAATACTTGTTTTTTCATTGGCTATCATTTTCTCCAGTTTCTCTTTCTACTTTTTGCATTTCTGTCTTGTATGTTTTCTTCATTCTTTTATATTCTTTATTAGGCAAGCTTTAATCTTTCTACAGATTATTTTGCAGTACAAATCAAAGGAAACACCTCTTATACTGTAGCCAAATGATGTAGATTTTTTAGCAAATTTTGAACCTAGACTTCTTACTGATTTGCAAATAACATTTGACTCTATTGACAACAATCTTCTACTGAAAGTAAAGTATTATGAAATCATTGACTCTTTGGTGAAAGTAAAGCATTATGAAATCATTGACTTGATTGACAACAGTCTTATACTGAAAGTACAGTATTTACAGTATCAGATCTTTAACCCTTTCCCTGTTGACCCTCCCTCCCCACTTTTTCAAGGCTTCATCTCTGAGCATTTATGAAAAATTAAAAACAAATTATTTTTTCTTTTAAAATGATTGAGAATCTTTTTCTTAAGGTAACTACACCAAAAATGTAAAATTTGATGTATTACTTACAGAATTACAAATGCACAAAGCTGGAGATTATATTATATGGTTATAATGTGTGTGATAAATACTCTGCCCTATCTAAGCCTAGTCTTTCATTCAGAGGGCATCCCTCTGAAGGACAAGAATAGGATTAGAATATTGGCTGATAGATACTGTGGTTAAAGTTTCATTATACATTTTTGAAAATAATTTTAATTACAGGTGTTAACACTGTCAGGTGTTGCTCGGGTGTTTAGTACAAAGCAAAAAATACTCCAAGGCCTGGGAGATTTTCCACGAGCTTGGGCACTACTGCTTGATTTTATACACACTGCTGCCCTCTCCAAAAGCAATGAGGTTAGTATATAACTTATTGTGAGTGTAATTCTCTTGACATTGCTCAGTTTAAGCAAATTTTAATTCAGTGAGAAGTGAAACAGCTTGAACATGAAGAGACTAATTTTTTTTGCAGTTTTTCTAACAGTTGCAGAAATAAAAGGTTTCTGTGACAGATCAGAAGTTATTCTAGTGCTTATGATATTGAGAGAGGAACATTTGGAATATGGAGAATTTTCTCATAAAGTAAACTTTTTTAAATTTTTATTTAGGTATCGTTAGCAGCACTAAAGTCTCTGCAAGAGATGCTTCAGGCTGGAAGGTCTTCTACATCCATCTCTTCTAGCTCAGATGATCCTGCTTCTCCATCACACTTGAGGTTACCCATCCCTGAAGATTCTATAGCAAACTGGAACACTGCATGGAAGGTACAGCTTTAATCAATTTTAAAAAAGATTCACTATTCATTGCTTAAATATATGAGGATTTGCTGGAAGGAAGGTTGTCTTTTATAGTAGAAAGTATTGAAGAGGATGTTGAAAGATAATGTGAATCTATGACTGTAATGTTAGCATATTCTGATAAGGTCTGTAGTATGAAGATAAATGACTGTTGTAATGATGAGGTGAAAACAGCAAAAAAAAAAAAAAAAACTGGCAACTGAAAGATTTTTGCAATTTAAAAACCATAAAAATGAAAGATTATTTTGAAAAAAGTTAAATGAGTTGTGAAAGAACTGAAAATAAGAGCAAATGAATGAAAGGTTCCTCCATGGGGAAGTGGAACAGAATTCTTCCTCCGTAAGCCATGCGTGTTATAAGAGGTGACTAAAATGCCGGGAGCAAGGGGCTAGTAACCTCTTCTCCTGTATATATTACTAAATGTAAAAGGAGAAACTTTTGTTTTTCCTTTTGGGCCACCCCGCCTCGGTGGGATACAGCCGGTGTGTTGAAAGAAAGAAGAAAGAATGAAAGGTTGAGACATTATTAGCATATTTTTCCAAGAACTGAGAGAGAAATCAAGTATGAAAAGTAAGGGAAAGTAATCAGTGTTTGTTAAATTTAGGTGAAAGTTGTGTGAGACTGAATAAAGAGGTAGAGATGTTAGAGTGAAAGAGATAGAGTATTTAAAAAAATTTAATGTTCATAATGGAATAAGAGCTAATAGTATTTATATAGGGACTGAGGGGAAGCCAAATAATTAGACAAAGTTCTGAAATAAAGCAGTACAGCACAGAGCCTGCACTTTGAAAGAGTGGTGTGGGATGTTGAGATCAGTGGGTCATTATTCTACTACAAGTACCAGTGCCTTTCTCAGATGGAAGCTAACAAGAGAGTGATAGTGAATTACTTTTCTTCTTTGGTGAAAAATGACTACATAATTGATTAAGCAAAATAAAGTGTACAAACTATTCAAGATTTGTCCACTTAACATTTTTTCCCCTCTGTTATACTTAGTGTCTACTTCACTGCTGCCTCATTAATATGAGAAAATCTTGCACAGGTTTGGCACACCATTGGCAGTGAAGTGACAAAACCTCCTCCTGATGAAGTAACAAGGGGATCAGATGCATACATCCCTTCACAGCCTTTCCTCACTGCCTTGGTTCACATATTCCCTCACTTGTTCCAACATATCAAGCCACGGTAAGCATACAACTTTGTATGTATAGTAAAAAAAAAAAGGCATAACACCATGACTGGAACACTTCACAAATAATGACATTATGCTCTGACTAGTCACAGATTATTTGTGAATATGTATAGTGCAGTGAAGCACTATTGGTCATCCATCTAAGATGAATAACCTGTCAGTTTATTTCATATATATGCATCAGATGTTATATCAGTTATATATATATCATACACAGATAACCCGCACATTTCAGTCCAACTTGGACCATTTACAAAATCATAGTGTGACTTTGTAATTGTGTGGGTTATTTGTATATTGTTCCAGTCATGGTATTGTGCCTTTTTGTTCTTTATGTTATAATATCTATACCTATTATAGGTAGTAGGTTGGCAGACAGCAACCGCCCAGGGAGGTACTACCGTCCTGCCAAGTGAGTGTAAAACGAAAGCCTGTAATTGTTTTACATGATGGTAGGATTGCTGGTGTCCTTTTTTTCTGTCTCATAAACATGCAAGATTTCAGGTACGTCTTGCTACTTCTTCTTACACTTAGGTCACACTACACATGCATGTACAAGCATATATATGTATATATACACATCCCTCTGGGTTTTCTTCTATTTTCTTTCTAGTTCTTGTTGTTGTTTATTTCCTCTTATCTCCATGGGGAAGTGGAACAGAATTCTTCCTCCGTAAGCCATGCGTGTTGTAAGAGGCGACTAAAATGCCAGGAGCAAGGGGCTAGTAACCCCTTCTCCCGTATAAATTACTAAATTTAAAAAGAGAAACTTTCGTTTTTCTTTTTGGGCCACCCTGCCTTGGTGGGATACGGCCGGTTTGTTGAAAAAAAAAAAAAAAAAAAAAAAAAACATGCAAGATTTCAGGTACATCTTGCTACTTCTACTTATGCTTAGGTCACACTACACTTACATGTACAAGCATATATATACATACCCTTCTGGGTTTTCTTCTATTTTCTTTCTAGTTCTTGTTCTTGTTTATTTCCTCTTATCTCCATGGGGAAGTGGAACAGAATTCTTCCTCCGTAAGCCATGCATGTTGTAAGAGGCGACTAAATTGCTGGGAGCAAGGGGCTAGTAACCCCTTCTCCTGTATAAATTACTAAATTTGAAAAGAGAAGCTTTTGTTTTTCTCTTTGGGCCACCCTGCCTCGGTGGGATACGGCTGGTACATTGAAAGAAAGAAAGAAGATCTATACCTATCTTTGTTTATGATATTTTACACCAGTATGAACTAAGACTGTGTGGTCTTGGAGTTACAAACAGGGCTTAGCATGATTTTATGCCAAAGAGCATAAACAGTGTCTGAACTGCACTAGAGTCAGGACAAGGTGGACTGCTGGGAAGGTGTAAGTGAGGTAGTTAAAGCATCTGGTATGTGAAAGTGAGGTAGTTAAAGCCTCTGATAGATGAAAATGAGGTAACTATAGCCTCTGGTAATTGAAACCGAGTGAGGTGGAGAAAGAGGCAGCCGAGAATATTTATTTTATTCTTCAACTTATTTAACTATGAAATCATATTCTATTTTTGCAGTAGCTTTATATATTTTATCTTCACTGAACAGCAGATAGCAGTTACATGACTGAAATTTCACCTCATAGGTTGAGATGCTAGAACAGAGTGCTGGATGTTCCATAAGGTTTTTTTGAGGGAGGTCAGACTCAAATCACATCTTTCTTGACCAGATAGAAATACTTCTCTTCATTATCATGGCAACACAATTTAAACGTCAAAATATCACTTCAAAATAAATGTAAATTTGCTTTTCATCTCATAATAGTGATAACAGTAAGTAGTAAGTATATGTATGATGTTATGCTCTAAAAATAGTTGTTAAAAACTTTAAAATCATGATTGATTAGTGGATTTTTTTTTTACACATTTCAGCTTTGTTGTTAGCGATTTTAGTCGCTTGGCTTCTGTTTTACTGGGTTGTGTGTCGGTCCCTGTGCACGGAGACTCATCGCCCTTCATCCTTCCGTCCTTCACTGAAGTTGTTGTCACTCCTCTGCAGGAGGGCATTTTGCAAGCTCTGTCAGGAGTGGAAAAGGAAGTATGTAATTTACAGACTGTTAACATTAAGAATTAAAAATCCATCTTCATAATTTTTTCTTTTTTTCTGAGGCTTTCTTTCTAGAAAGTTTTACTAGAGAGGGGAACCACAGGTAAAAGGTCTCTAGACTTTGTCTTTATCTTCTCCTCATTTTCTTTTTAAAGTTATAGAATATAAACATCTTGGTCTTGCATTTTCCCCTGGTATCCAGTAATTAACCTCTGATGACTCTTGCCTCAATCCTTTCTGATTAACATGTTTGCCAATCACTCCTTTAAATGTTTTACCCATTTCATTTAAAGGCAGATATTTGCTGATGTTATGTCTGTCTGATATTTCACTTGAATATAATGATATATAATGATTTATGTCTAGTTATTTATATCTTTTTATAATGACAGCTAGTTGACTGATTGGGGATTAATGTTGATGTTATGAGTGTAATGACATAAATTACAGTAAGCCATTATTTACTAAGAACGTCTCTTGTTCTTCACCAGGTAACAGAAGGTAATGGAGCAACCCGAGCAATGGTCCCACAGCTGTTCAAGTTACTTTTACAGTTTTCATCCTACAGTTGTCAGGCTCCTAGTTATGGCAATGTTCTTACTAGACCTCACACTACTAAGGGATCAGTAAGTAGTTAGGTTTCTTTAGCTGTCATAGCTCTTGTTATAAACATTCTCGGTATAGGTAGTAAGATATTGTTGTATAAATTACTGGGTGCAAGGTAACTTGGTCTAGACCATTGTAGTAGTTCAAGAATCATTTAGATTCAGGTTTTGCCATCTCTCCTCATTCTGCATCATAAATAAAGTTTACAAACAAGCCCAAGCTCATCATATTGGATGTAGAAATTTAAAAAAAAAAAACATTTGCAGCCTGAGCTTAAGCCTGGAGAGTTAAAGATATACTCTACATTCTGTGCTTGCCAAAAACATAAATGTTGGCTGGTTGCATATGACAGTCATCAGCTGTATTTGCACACAGTAGCAATTAAATATATGTAGATGTAAATATGTTTTTTTTACTTCATGGTGGTAGTTTTTATAACTTTTTTGAGCAGTTTGTTTTTTATGAGATAGATTTAGGAAGAAGTCTAGAGATGCCTCCCTCAGTCATCCTAATCCAGGTGAACCATATCTAATGGTTTTCTCTTATAGTCTTAGGTATTTTTTATTGAATGCATCCACATGAGAATTTTTTTACATCTTAAACTAATTTTGCTAATTTTCACTTTCCAGACTGACTGGGTGACCATGAATTTTGTGCCCTTTGCTGAGAGATCAATGTCTATGGTGGTATCTCTCTACCAAAAAACCTCCAATTGGCAAGAAGTTATAGAGGCACAAGTTCTAAAGAATATTATTCAGGTGAGACAGTATGGCAGTTGATGTAATTCATTCAGGATAGATGTAAAATTAGGCAGAATAAGCCATATATATTATATGGTAGTTAATTTGAGATAGCTCTTGCATCCACTACATACCCCATAAATGTGATATAAATATTGTCAAGTACTATAATTGGAGTCAGCGGTACTCTTTATTTTTATGATTTTCCACCTATAAAATATGCAACAATTTTTCTTAAATAAAGTTATCTGAAAGTAATATTATCACAATATTTCTGAATAATTTCACATTGAGGCTTTTAAAGTATTGATAAATGTGCTATTCTTAGGCCAGCATAATGCCTCTACGCTTGAAGTACCGGTGTCCTGCACAGACAACATGGAAGTTGGTCATCACAACACTGTTGACAGTACTGCAAGAGGGACTTCAGCTGGCCAGAGAATATCCTGTTCACTTTAGGGAGATGTGGACAGTTTTAGGCACAGCACTTGACAGTTTCCTGTTTTCAAACAGGTAGATTTAGACCTATTAGTTTCGATTTTGATGGAACTTGATCTGCTCTTATTTGATGTTTGTTTATATTATTGAAAGTTTGGTTTGCTTTGGTTACCCAGGTGATTGGTTGGCTTTGGTTGCCCAGGTGAGCACTACTGAGTAAGAAGATTATACTCTTACCCATCTAGTCTTCTTGAACTACACACACATACTGCAGTGCCTCAACAGTTGGCTCCATTTTCTCAATTTTCAAATGTGTAGCTTTAGAAAAAGCTTATTTGTAATAAAATGAAACCCTCACGTTTTTCTCAATAGTGCTTTAAGGTGTGACCAAGGTTAACTGACCTAGTGCTTGTAATAAATTAGTAAAGATTGTGTAAATGACTTACAAACAAGTACCGTAAGTTATTGCCTTAGATCCAATGAAACAAGTATTATCTGGCTCATAATGTCTTGTTTTTATGTCATCTATCTATATATGACTTAACACTAAAATTATATCTACCAGCCCCCCACCTGCCAACCAGAGCAGTGAAGATGCAGAGCGCGATGAAAATATTGACTGTCAAGTAGTAGAGTTGATAAGAGAAGAGATTCTGCCTTATGCAACCACCACACCTAGTGACTTTATAGTGTCAATTATGGTACTTCTTAATAAAGGCTCTATTGAGTCAGCATCAGGCACTGACTCTGGTAAGTGATAAATTTCATCACTTGTAAAATAAGTACCAAATGCTAAAATTCTAATTTAGTAACAGGATTGTGCCATTATACTGCCTTGAGACCACTAATGTTTACTGGGATAGTAAAATTTTATTTAGGGTTACATAATGGTCACTGTCAGTCATGTAGATTTATGTGGAAGACTGGTATTGCTTATGTAAATGTATATGTAAATCATAGCACCCTCAAATTTGCTATGAGGCACAAATTATGGCCTAGACATGAGAGAAAGGGTCCATAGTGAGCATGTGCAGTAAAAAAAAATCCTACCCCATGCAGTATATGATGAGAGCAGCTAAACTCTTGACCTTGTATTTGGGTTAAAATATGGACTAGGGCATTATCTAGAATGATTTTCGTTGTTTTATTGGCTGTTTCTTTGTGTCGCTAGATTGATCATAAGAGATACTAGTGAAATGGAGAAGGGTTTGGACAGTTTCAGATCAGTGGCCTGAAATAAGCCTTGAAGTGGTGGAAATGTCAGTTATGGGCTTTACCTGGGGAAGGTTAGAGGACCCTCAGTTTCTCTCATGAACTGTTTTATGGGTTTTTCCTCGGTCTACTTCAATTATTGGGATGGTCTAAATCATGGCCAAGCATTCTGGTTTATGGTTTATTAGCCAAGAAATAGGTAAAAAATGCCAATTTTTTGTGTGTGACAGTAGATTCAAATTGAAGAGCAAGTGTTATATATGAGAGGCTGAGGATGTGATTAATGAACAAAGAGGAAGGATGCTTTATTGTTTGTTTTGGACTGTTTTTAAATTAGAATTTAGGGGAAATAGTGTAAAATTGGCCAAATTACTGCCTTCTGGGCTCTTAATTTGGTAGTTCTGATAGGTGAATGAGCCATTTCTTGTAATCAGTTGATTACAAGGTATGGTTGTATGTCAAATAGTTCACCACCCTTGTGGACTGAGGTAGTCCTTATTTTTTCTTAAGTATATCTGGGAAGGACTGGAGTTTCAAATACAGTAAAACCACAGTATAATGGACTTCAATGCAATGGATATCAGATAAAATGGACAAAAGATCTGGATGGACAAAGGCTCAACAAGTTAGCTTTATGGATGTGTCTGGTAAAATTACTTATGCAGCTGACCAGGTTCACTGCATCACAGGGTTGTCCGGTATGGCCTCTGTCCAAGCCCTGTCCTTTTTCATTGTTCCTGAGTTGTGGGACCAGTGACACCCTATGTCAGTTTGTAGTTGTCTGCATGCTTGTGCTCACATATTATTGTCATTTGGTTTATAATGTAATGATTTGAGTTTTTTAACTTTGTCTTCACTATATGTTTATAATTCTTAAATAATTCAGCTGGAGATTATCACTTATCATAAGCATAATTTAAAAATTTATTTGCAGAGTGTGAAGGATTTAAACTGCGGGAAGAATTTGCAAAGACATGTTTTGAAACTCTTCTCCAATTTTCCCTTCTCACACCAACTGATTTTGATCCCAGCCTGGAAAGCTCCGGTGAGTAACCTAGTTGAAAATCTAATTTCCTGCTTCTTGCTTTAGGATCAGAAAGTTAATATAAGTCAGTAAATAGTATCTACATGCATCTAGCAAGACAGTGATGGAGTGAGTGATAATGAAAGTGTTTCTTTTTCGGGTCACCATGACTCAGTGGGAAACAGCCAATGTGTTAAAAACAAAACAATGCCCAATTGATATATTTTCTTAGGTTTCAAGTAAATTAAATATAGCATTGTATTGCTTATTGGGATCTGAAGCCAGATTTAACAGGCAAAATTATAAACAGAGAATAAAGGTACATGAATAGATAAAGCTAGATTTTAATTCAGGTGTAAAGAATAAAAGACACAATACCATGACTGGTACAATACACAAATAACGTGCACATATGAGATAAACTTATGGTGTTATTTCGATCCAACTTGCATCATTAAGTAGTCACACAGAACACAAAGGAAAGGGAGCCAAAGTATATACAGTGGACCCCCGGTTAACGAACTTTTTTCATTCCAGTAGTATGTTCAGGTGCCAGTACTGACCGAATTTTTTCCCATAAGGAATATTGTGAAGTAGATTAGTCAATTTCAGACCCCCAAACATACACGTACAAACGCACTTACATAAATATTTTTTTTTTTTTTATTATCACACCGGCCGATTCCCACCAAGGCAGGGTGGCCCGAAAAAGAAAAACTTTCACCATCATTCACTCCATCACTGTCTTGCCAGAAGGGTGCTTTACACTACAGTTTTTAAACTGCAACATTAACACCCCTCCTTCAGAGTGCAGGCACTGTACTTCCCATCTCCAGGACTCAAGTCCGGCCTGCCGGTTTCCCTGAATCCCTTCATAAATGTTACTTTGCTCACACTCCAACAGCACGTCAAGTATTAAAAACCATTTGTCTCCATTCACTCCTATCAAACACGCTCACGCATGCCTGCTGGAAGTCCAAGCCCCTCGCACACAAAACCTCCTTTACCCCCTCCCTCCAACCCTTCCTAGGCCGACCCTACCCCGCCTTCCTTCCACTACAGACTGATACACTCTTGAAGTCATTCTGTTTCGCTCCATTCTCTCTACATGTCCGAACCACCTCAACAACCCTTCCTCAGCCCTCTGGACAACAGTTTTGGTAATCCCGCACCTCCTCCTAACTTCCAAACTACGAATTCTCTGCATTATATTCACACCACACATTGCCCTCAGACATGACATCTCCACTGCCTCCAGCCTTCTCCTCGCTGCAACATTCATCACCCACGCTTCACACCCATATAAGAGCGTTGGTAAAACTATACTCTCATACATTCCCCTCTTTGCCTCCAAGGACAAAGTTCTTTGTCTCCACAGACTCCTAAGTGCACCACTCACTCTTTTTCCCTCATCAATTCTATGATTCACCTCATCTTTCATAGACCCATCCGCTGACACGTCCACTCCCAAATATCTGAATACGTTCACCTCCTCCATACTCTCTCCCTCCAATCTGATATTCAATCTTTCATCACCTAATCTTTTTGTTATCCTCATAACCTTACTCTTTCCTGTATTCACCTTTAATTTTCTTCTTTTGCACACCCTACCAAATTCATCCACCAATCTCTGCAACTTCTCTTCAGAATCTCCCAAGAGCACAGTGTCATCAGCAAAGAGCAGCTGTGACAACTCCCACTTTGTGTGTGATTCTTTATCTTTTAACTCCACGCCTCTTGCCAAGACCCTCGCATTTACTTCTCTTACAACCCCATCTATAAATATATTAAACAACCACGGTGACATCACACATCCTTGTCTAAGCGCCTACTTTACTGGGAAAAAATTCCCCCTCTTTCCTACATACTCTAACTTGAGCCTCACTATCCTCGTAAAAACTCTTCACTGCTTTCAGTAACCTACCTCCTACACCATACACTTGCAACATCTGCCACATTGCCCCCCTATCCACCCTGTCATACGCCTTTTCCAAATCCATAAATGCCACAAAGACCTCTTTAGCCTTATCTAAATACTGTTCACTTATATGTTTCACTGTAAACACCTGGTCCACACACCCCCTACCTTTCCTAAAGCCTCCTTGTTCATCTGCTATCCTATTCTCCGTCTTACTCTTAATTCTTTCAATTATAACTCTACCATACACTTTACCAGGTACACTCAACAGACTTATCCCCCTATAATTTTTGCACTCTCTTTATCCCCTTTGCCTTTATACAAAGGAACTATGCATGCTCCTCTGCCAATCCCTAGGTACCTTACCCTCTTCCATACATTTATTAAATAATTGCACCAACCACTCCAAAACTATATCCCCACCTGCTTTTAACATTTCTATCTTTATCCCATCAATCCCGGGTGCCTTAACCCCCCTTTTATTTTACCTACGGCCTCACGAACTTCCCCCACACTCACAACTGACTCTTCCTCACTCCTACAAGATGTTATTCCTCCTTGCCCTATACACGAAATCACAGCTTCCTATCTTCATCAACATTTAACAATTCCTCAAAATATTCCTTCCATCTTCCCAATACCTCTAACTCTCCATTTAATAACTCTCCTCTCCTATTTTTAACTGACAAATCCATTTGTTCTCTAGGCTTTCTTAACTTGTTAATCTCACATCCAAAAATTTTTCTTATTTTCAACAAAATTTGTTGATAACATCTCACCCACTCTCTCATTTGCTCTCTTTTTACATTGCTTCACCACTCTCTTAACTTCTCTCTTTTTCTCCATATACTCTTCCCTCCTTGCATCACTTCTACTTTGTAAAAACTTCTCATATGCTAACTTTTTCTCCCTTACTACCTCTTTACATCATCATTCCACCAATCGCTCCTCTTCCCTCCTGCACCACTTTCCTGTAACCACAAACTTCTGCTGAACACTCTAACACTACATTTTTAAACCTACCCCATACCTCTTCGACCCCATTGCCTATGCTCTCATTAGCCCATCTATCCTCCAATAGCTGTTTTATATCTTACCCTAACTGCCTCCTCTTTTAGTTTATAAACTTTTACCTCTCTCTTCCCTGATGCTTCTATTCTCCTTGTATCCCATCTACCTTTTACTCTCAGTGTAGCTACAACTAGAAAGTGATCTGATATATCTGTGGCCCCTCTATAAACATGTACATCCTGAAGTCTACTCAACAGTCCCTTTTTTCTACCAATACATAATCCAACAAACTACTGTCATTTCGCCCTACATCATATCGTGTATACTTATTTATCCTCTTTTTCTTAAAATATGTATTACCTATAACTAAACCCCTTTCTATACAAAGTTCAATCAAAGGGCTCCCATTATCATTTACACCTGGCACCCCCAAACTTACCTACCACACCCTCTCTAAAAGTTTCTCCTACTTTAGCATTCAAGTCCCCTACCACAATTACTCTCTCACTTGGTTCAAAGGCTCCTATACATTCACTTAACATCTCCAAAATCTCTCTCTCTCCTCTGCATTCCTCTCTTCTCCAGGTGCATACACCTTATTATGACCCCTTCTCGCATCCAACCTTTACTTAAATCCACATAATTCTTGAATTTACACATTCATATTCTCTTTTTCTCCTTCCATAACTGATCATTTAACATTACTGCTTACCCCTTCCTTTGCTCTAACTCCTCAATACTCCAGATTTAATCCCATTTATTTCCCCCCACTGAAACTCTCCTACCCCCTTCAGCTTTGTTTCGCTTAGGGCCAGGACATCCAAAATTCTTTTCATTCATAACATCAGCAATCATCTGTTCTTGTCATCCGCACTACATCCACGCCCCATTTAAGCAACCCAGTTTTATAAAGTTTTTCTTCTTCTCTTTTTTAGTAATTGTATACAGGAGAAGGGGTTACTAGCCCATTGCTCCCCCGGCATTTTAGTCGCCTCATACGACACGCATGGCTTACGGAGGAAAGATTCTTTTCCACTTTCCCCCTGGACAATAGAAGAAATAAAAAGAACAAGAGCTATTTAGAAAAAGGAGAAAAACCTAGATGTATGTATATATATATATATGCATGTGCGTGTCTATGAAGTGTGACCAAAGTGTAAGTAGGAGTAGCAAGATATCCCTGTTATCTTAGCGTGTTTATGAGACAGAAAAAGAAACCAGCAATCCTACCATCATGCAAAACAGTTACAGGTTTTTGTTTCACAGTCATCTGGCAGGACGGTAGTACTTCCCTGGGTGGTTGCTGTCTACCAACCTACTACCTTACATAATTGGTCGCATTTGGAGGTGATCGTTATGCGGGGGTCCACTGTACTAGAGGGGGATAGACAGGAGTAGTAAAACAGAAGGGAGTAATGGTATTGTAGTAGTAGTGGTGATAGTAGTAGTTAGGAATAGTATAAGTGGTAGTTAGCAGTTAGTACTGTAGTAATTAGTAGTTAGTAATAGTAGTAGTGCACCTAGGTAGTAGGTTGGTAAACAGCAACCGCCCAGGGAGGTACTACCGTCCTACCAAGTGAGTGTACAACGAAAACTTGTAATTGTTTTACATGATGGTAGGATTGCTGGTGTCTTTTTATTCTGTCTCATAAACATGCAAGATTTCAGGTATGTCTTGCTACTTCTACTTGCACTTAGGTCACACTACACATACATGTACAAGCATATATATACACACACACCCCTCTGGGTTTTCTTCTATTTTCTTTATAGTTCTTGTTCTTGTTTATTTCCTCTTACCTCCATGGGGAAGTGGAACAGAATTCTTCCTCCGTAAGCCATGCGTGTTGTAAGAGGCAACTAAAATGCCCGGAGCAAGGGGCTAGTAACCCCTTCTCCTGTATATATTACTAAATGTAAAAGGAGAAACTTTCGTTTTTTCTTTTGGGCCACCCCGCCTCGGTGGATACGGCCGGTGTGTTGAAAGAAGTAGTAGTAGTAGTAGTAGTGCAACACTGGTAGAGATGGAAATAAATAGGAAGGTAGTAGTGGTAATAGCTCTTCTGTGTGATTAGTTAATGATCCAAATCAGACCAAAACATTGTTATTTGTGTACAGAAGGTGTAGGTATCTGACTATGTTGAATGTATATATCATCTTCCAAATATTTATTTATTTACTTTGAATACTGGAGGTGGGAGTGCCTGCACTCTTAAGTTGGTACTGAGACTATTGAAGTTCAGAGGGTTATTTGAAGTGCGATACTAGTGCACAGCTGGCGAGATATCTTGCTGGGTAATGGCCATTGTAGTAAATCAATGAGATGACCATATGAACCTTCAATGCAATTGGGACTCAAAATGAAAACTAGAAACAGAATATTTTTTAAAAGGTGTTCACTTATTTACCGAGCCTAACCTCTTTAACTACTTTTTTTTCGTATGCATTTGAAAGAAGTGTCTGTCAGTGTTATCGTATTTTCTGGCATATAAAGCATGCCCTTTTTTCCCAGAAAAAGTCCCTGCACCTTATATGCTCAGGGTCAGGGTCAAGGGTAGATTTTTGGTTATGCTTTCCTGTAAAGTAAGAGTGTAATTTACCCTTGAATATGATTGCTGATTTACTTTTGTTGTGCATCTTATATACCAGAAAATACGGTAAATGATAAAACTCACTGTTTCACCAACTACAGTTGGTATAATACTGAGCAATATATACTAAAGTGGCATTAATAAGTTTGTTTAATTTATAATCACTTTCAGGTAGAGCAGGATCAAGCAAAGCCAGTGAAACAAGTAATGGTTACACAGCACAAGAGTCAACTTTAAATGTAGCAAAGTGTGAGTCAACACAAGTCACTACAAAATTAGCAGTTACATCTCTCCTGCATCGCTTTAGGGAAGTCCTCGTTAAATATGTGGAAGATGAGAAGCTTAGTGGAAAGTGTCCCTTGCCCAGGTTTGAGTCTTTTCTCTGTATTTTGATGATTCCAGTCTTCCATACCTCTCCCTTGATGCTGGTGCAAAGTTCTTGATCCAAGAAGTTGGAGCTGCCCTTTCCAAATTTGGATCAAGCCTGATCTAAAGAGCTAAAGGGCAGCAAACCCTCATAAAATGGACTAGTAGGGAATGTCCATTATATAAAAATTTACAAAAAAAAAGTGCACTAGAGTACTGTACTGTATGACTAATACAGTACTGTACATACAATTTACAGATATACTGTAGTAAGTATTTAAAACAAAGGAATTAAAAGTACAATTTAACCAGTAGATTTTGCTCTAAATGTTAAAAGTCCATTATATCGAGGGTTTACTGTGCTTAGCATTTCCCAGGCACTGTATGACATGTATGGATTTAGTGCTCTCCCATTAAAATAATACCATAACTATTATCAGAGGGTCGAGGAGGGCTTACTGATGTGGTTCAGACATGTAGAGAGGATGGAATGAAATAGAATGACTTTAAGAGTGTATAAATCTGTAGTGAAGGGAAAGTGGGGTAGGAGTCAGCCTAGGGAAGGTTGGAGGGAGGGGGTAAAGGAGGTTTTGTGTGGGAGGGGCTTGGACTTCCAGCAAGTATGCATGAGTGTGTTAGATTGGAGCAAATGGAGACAAATGGTTTTTAGGACTTGACATGCTGTTTGTGTATGAGCAGGGTAACATTTATGAAAGGATTCCGTAACCGGCAGGCCGGACTTGAGTCCTGGAGATGGAAAGTACAGTGCCTGCACTCTGAAGGAAGGGTGTTAATGTTGCAGTTTTATAACTGTAGTGTAAGCATGCATCTGGCAGGACAGTGATGGAGTGAATGATGATGAAAGTTTTTCTTTTTTGGGCCATCCTGCCTGGGTGGGAAATGGCCAATGTGTTGTTAAAATAATAAAAATAACAATATTTCTCCTCTGATTAATCTTTTATGCCTCTCTATTTTGTTACAACTTGCTTCACATGATCATTAACTGGAAATAATATTACTTGACATTCATTGTCATTATATATTTACTTCAAATTCTGGAACCTTCACTAACTGACCTATGGGAGTGCTAGCCCCACAGCCCCACAACCCCACAGCCCCACAGCCCCACAGCCCCACAGCCCCACAGCCCCACAATGCAACATGAAACACTATGTTAGAACAAGCCTTTGGTATAGACATCTCTTGTGGGAGGAGTTTCTCCAAGTTGTAAGGCAAGAACCCCAAAATATACATGATATATTGAGTTGCTGTGGCAGTAGGGAACAATGGTGAATTTGTTGAGAAAGGGAGCAACAAACACTGATGTAGGTGAGGCAAATGCATTTGGGATTTGTTTCACATTAATTATTTTGGCTCTTTCTGGCAGTGGTTTTTGCTCTTTCTTTTGCAAAACTATTACTTGACTTGTGATGCAATTAGACCCAATCAGATCCTTACTTCATCTTGCCTCTCCTTCACACCATTTATTCCAAGATGGATCAAAACTGTCTAAATTTCATTTCTAAGTGTTGGTTATTTGTGAGCTTAACACCAGTGTTGGTTCTCCTTAACCAAATCTTCCACTTGTATTTCCTTATAATTTTTTGATTTGGTATAACTCATCCAGAGTAAACATTTTTTTTATTGTTCATTTTAAGTGCTTAACCTATGTGGGTTATTCAGTGCAGGATGTGGTGGAGGCTTAATCCACTGTCTGCTGACACATGACAAATGTGCCTCCTATTTGTACTCACAATAAAGGCTTGTCCTTGTGTAGTGTTTCTCTTCACATTTTTTATTGGTATTGCCTGCCATATGTTCACAGGGCATTCTTTAGACTCTCCTTATATTCTTTTTAAGTTTTAGCAGACATCTGCATTGTTGAGATTAATATATATTATTTATACTCTATTTCAGACACAGAATAGCTGAAATAAGCTTTGTACTTAAAGCTATAGCAACCCTGCTCTCATCCCTTAAAAAGGCACCAATAGAAAAAGGTAAAAAAAATTACAGTTTGGTTAAAAGGAAGGAAATTAAAAGTGAACATAAAAAAGAGCAAAGTGATGAGGTGGGGAAAGAAAGCTGTTGATCTACTGAGGCAGATAAGGGAATGTACCAAAGTATAGTACCACTAACACTTTTATATGGGTGTAAGGCATAGGTTTTGAATGCTGCAGCAAAAAGAAAGCTAGAGCCAGTGATGTCATGTTTGAGAGAATTTGGGGTGTGAATATCATAGAGAATTCAGAGTGCAGAAATTAAAAAGCAGTGTGGGATGACCAAGGGTATAGTTCAGAGAGCTGAGGAGGTACTGTTGAGGTGATTTGACCATGTAGAGAGAATGAACAAGGATAGGTTGAGAAAAGGTGTATAAATTTGGGGTAGAAGGTCATCCCATGAATGATTGGAAGGACAGGGTACAAGTGGCTTTGAGTTTTAAAGGTTTGAACATCCAGCAGCCTTGTGTGAATAGACAAGTGGTTTTTAATGAATTTATTGTTGGAGTATAAGCAGAGCAACTTTAATAAAGGGTTTCAGGAAAACTGGCTAGCTGAGCTTGAGTCCTGGAGGAGGAAAGAGTAGTCCCAGCACTCTGAAGGAGGGATGGCAGTGTTGTAGTTGGAGGTAATCTGATTGTGATGACAGCACACATCTAGAGAAAATGATAGTTGAGTGAATGTGAGTATATGAGTTTTGTTCTTTGAGTCAATCTGCCTTGGCAGGATATGGCTGTTGTGTAAAAAAAAAAAAAAAATTATATGGAGGCCGAAAGAATATGTAAGGCATATACTAAATCTAAAACGTTGTCACTAGATATACACATAACTGATTTAAGAGCTTTATTCCACACAGATGAAGCGAATATGAACAAGCGTATATGCTTGATTATAGGATATATATTTTATCGAATAGAGAGGTGGCGCTTGAGGGTCTCTCTCTCATTTATTTGACACATTAGCAGTTTCCCACCAAGAGAGGGTGACCCAAAAAACTTACACATTCACTTAAATATGTGATTTGTAATATAAACTTGTTTGGTAAGATAGTTTTAACTAGCACATATAAATATTTACAAATCCTGCCGCCTTCTGTACCCAACATCCTGGTCCTCTATTTAACTTAAATTTGAATTGCTTGTTCTAATTTCATTATCATTTTAATTTAGCACTTTAACAATATTTCAGTGGACAGCATGACCTGGACACAGCTGATTGGTCTGTATCCTCATCTTGTGGAGGTAGGAGGAGCCAGTAGTACTGGCACACCTCAGCTGTGGCGATCACTCAGGGAAGTACTCTTACAGTATGCTCAACTGTTGCATCCGCCTTTACCATCTACCCCTGTGGATTCCAGCGATGATGCACATATTGGTCTTATAAATGGAACGTAAAGTATTAATTATGCTTTGTAACACGTCGTTACTGTCAGATGGCAGTACATAGTGAATATAATGGAAACTTAAATTTTTAGTCATTTTGTTTTAAGGCCATATTGGAGAAAATAGTGAACCCTTCAGTGTGTGTTAGAATTATGGTAACTGTATATACTGGTATATATACAGGTTTATTTAATAGAAGGGGCCATGTCTACACAAAACATTCTGATATGATACTTGGGTAAAAACCTTGTATTTGAGTGTTCTTTATTTTGAAGTCTAGATATAATGACATCTCGAGTGGATAAAATTGTACACTAACCAGCTACCCCAAGTAATAATAATAATAGTGCCTCCCCACCCTATAAGATGCAAAACTGGGTAGCAATATCGATGTTAAAAGTAATATGTAAATTTTAAAAATTGTTGCATTTCCCTTGATCATGTGATGCAAAAGCTGAAAACTATTACAGTACATAGCAAGACATTACGTTGGTTAGGCAGGTCAATTTAACCCTAGCCTATGCTTAAGCAATAGCTTTTGCTGTTTTTTCAACATAATCTCTAGATAGTAATTAAATTACTTGAAAGGGTTGCAACTCAAATATCATAGAAAAGACATAAGAAACTCTGTACGTATTTCTTTGTTGATAGAGAGATATATAATTACGGTAAATGCTCTAGATACAGTATAAAGAACAAAAAGGCACAATACTGTGACTGGAACAATACACAAATAACCCATACGTAGGAGAGAGAAGCAGCTTACGACAATGTTTCGGTCCGACTTGGACCATTTACAAAGTCACACTGTGTGCGACTGTAAACATCATTGTAAGCTTTTCTCTCTCCTATGTACGAGTTATTTGTGTATAGGTACAGTATGTCATGATAGCCCCAACCACTTAATTTCTTTCCAGAAATTGTATATTTTTTGTAAAATTTTGAATATCTTTTAAATTATGAATATTATGAAGAGGTTTGTGAAAGATTTATTTCTTATTTTTTTATAGTAAGTGTAAGTCAGTGATATACTACTGGGATAGTAGTACTTTCTGCTGCCATTGTTCTCAAGGTTATGGCTTATATCAGCTGAAGGCAAGTACAAAATCTGTGCTTTTTGTACTGCATTTCATTTCTTATGCAGTGGCTGAAAGTTATGAATTATATGTAAATAAAGGACATAGAGTATCATGGCACGGTTTTTTGCAGTGGATAGAATGTGAATAGAGCTTGTAAGAGTTCATTAAGGGATGCTTTGAGTACTATGTGATCTGGATATTAGATTTCCCTATGGCACAGATTGTCAAATTGAGTATCACTATATGTACTCTGATGGTGCTTTCACTCCTTGTACCTGGAGTACAACAATCTGTTGAGTACATTGTTTTTACACTGTCTGTGTAAAATAACATTTATATCTGTATACTGTACTTAGCAAGTGTAAATAAAACATGAATATAATCAGGGTATATCATGTGTGTCTTGAAAGTTGTTCATGCTTCTCTGACAACTCAGCATTGACTCCCAGTTCATAATGCAACTCCTTATATTGGAAGTAGTGTGCAAGTGTCATTTTGTATTTTACCTTTCAGAGTGGGTGCCTTGATGTTGGTGAAGGGGGGGTTTTGATCCAAGGAATTGGAGCTACCTTTCTCATTGGACAAAATCTGATTACCTCCAGGTGCTGTATGACCCTCATGGGTTTAGCATTTTCCCCTACCCCCAAATATAATGTAATAAATTCAGTTAGAGTCAAGGTAACTTAAAAGTATAAAATCTTCCTCGTTAAACTTATCAGCAGTCAACTTCATTTTGTTGGTGTTGTGTTTCAGCAGCAGCCATGAGCCTCAGACTAGTTCGTGCCTGACAACTCGAGAGAATTCCACTCGTTTCTTTGTATCTTTGATTGTATGTTTTCTATGCACAGTGTACAATAGATATTAATAAGGTTGTATTTAAGTATTGATTTGTATTTATGTGTTATGACAGTGTTATGAATACAGTATATAATTTTATCTATCAGATGTGATTGGGATATATATTCTAAGCTGGTAATGTAAAACTACAGTATTTGAGTTCAAAGCAAAAATGAAATATTTACAACTTAGTAAATTTGTTTTTACAGTTTTCTACAGTATTATTAATGGCCTGTAAACAGAGCTTCAAAATATACATTTGTTTCCCCATTATAAATGGTTCACAGGCTAATGCTGCAGTCAGCAGTCATTGGTTATTTTTGCCATCCTCAATTTTATTCTTTGTGCTGAAGAATTGTAAAAATAAAGATACCATGGTACAATTCTCACAATCTTAGAAATCCTGGGCTGAATGTAGAGCCAACAAAGGTTACTGGAACACCATTGGTCAAGTATGGGGAGATAGTCACTCATCAATAAGTGTAGCAAATGGAATATATTCACACTCAATACATAATGTTTAAGCATCACATAATTAGTATTTGACGTTTTTTTTATTAAAGAGATGAAGGTCTTCTAAGAGTGTACTATAGTCATCTGATGTTATATTTAGTTTTGATCAGTGAATGGGCAAGAAAACCCATCCAGGGAGGTGCCTTGATGCACGTGAAGAGCTTTCATTTAGTGAATTGGAACTTCCCTCTTCCCTGGATCAAACTTTATTACCTTCTATTTGCCAGGGGCTGTATGATCTTTATAATTTTAGTACTTACCCCTGAATGTAATAAGAACGCCAAGGAAACATTAATTACCTGTTGATTATTTCTGTACCTGTCCATACCCTGTGGAGTAGTGAGCATTAATTACTTCATTTACTTAAATATGCTATGTATTTTCATATTTTTATTCAGTTAGTAGTTTTTCATAAGTGAAATTTATGTGTAGCTGCAGCCAAGGATTTGCAGACACCTCAGTGAGCCATATTACACGAGTGCAGCTCTCAAACACAGCTGTGTATGTATGGACATAAAGTCAACAGTTTATGGATATAAAGAGAGCATGTAGAATATACTTTTATTGTATCTTTGTTCATTATCTGGTAGTGTAGTAGCTGCTTAAGGAGTGTAGTTACTATACCCTGTACACAGTTACTCACTACCATTTGCACAGCCCTTACTCACCTGAGTGTCTGGGAATTTTTGTCCACAACTGTATATATAAATTTTTATCTATACTTTTGTCATTAAAATATTTCATTTGGTGTGTAATGACTGAATTGTAGTGATGCATTTTTTTTTTTGCCATTGATCAGCTGTGCCTTAGTTATTTTATATCCATATTAATGCTTTATATTGTTTATAACTCATTCCTTGGAATTGTAGTCTTTGGAATGGTGACATCAGTAGACAATGTGCTTGAAATTTAGTGTAAACAAAGCTTTAGTTCCAGTTGATGAGGTAAACTGTATTGGTTTACTCTTATTGTATACTGTACTTTGTATTATTTGATTAATCATCATTATTATTATTACTACAATTATAACTGTTAAACCCCATAGGAGTGCTATAGATTATTTGATTAATTTTCAAAAAAAAGAGACTGTTAAAGAGCAGTACAGGAGGACCCCACTTACCCAGCACCCTCTTTTCGTCTTTGCCACTTTTTTTCATTGGTTTTAAATTTAAAGTTTTTGGGTTAAATTTTTTTCAGGGGCTTTTTCTGTTTTTCCACCCAACAGTGCAAAAGGGGAAAGGGGCCCAAGATTTCCAGATTTTTTTAAGGTTTAAGTATTGTATGTCTGTGAAATTTTCCCCTTTGATCTGTTTTTTATGCCTAGTTGAAATTGAGCACTTTAAGGGTTTTATATTTGGTTAAAAAATTTTTATCAGAAAATTTTTAAACACTTTTCGAAATTAAAAAAAAAAAGCCCCTTTTTTTCCACTTGCCGGAAATTTTTTTGCTTTTTTTGGGGAAATTTAAAACCTAAGAGCTTTAAAAAAGGGGGCCCTCCTGAAAAAAAATAATGAAAATTTAAAATTATAAATGTTTTTTTCCCCATTTTTTTGGGGGAAGAAAAATTTTTTTTTTCCCTTTTTCCCAACCCAAAATTTCCCTTTTCTTTACTAAAACATTTTAAAATTTATCTTTAAATTTTTGAAAAGGAAAATGGCTTAAGTTTTTGCAATACAAAATGCATTTTTTTTTTGACAAAAAAAAGGACGGGGTTTTCCAGTTTTTTGGGAAAACTTTTGGCAACGCCTGCTGGCACTTGAACCCTAATTATTGTAGGTATGTTTTTCCAAAGGGGTTTTTTTTTTTTATTTTTTCCCAAACAAATTTTAGTCATTTAGGGTAAATCTGGTCCCCAGGGTTTCCCTGATTTTTTAATTAATGTGATACCCTTTTTTTTTGTTTTTAAGAATTTACAAAACCCTTTGGGGGAAATTTTTGGTTTTTGTCATTAAATTTTTTTGGGAAGTGGAGAAAAATTTTTTGGACTAAATTTAAATGAGTATTCACTTATTTTCTTGAAAATACCCAATTGAGATTTTTTTAAATTTTGGGTTCATAAAAGAATCCCAAACCCCCTACACAGCAAAAAAGTTTCACATTTATCTTCACCCCCAAAAATGTATGAAAGAAAAAAATTTAAATTTTTTTAAAAAATTTTTCAAAAAAAAAAAATATAAATTTGCAAAAATTACTGCCCCAGATTTAAAAATTGTACGACAGGTTTTCACCCCTTTTAACAAAAAAAATGGTATTTCTTACAAAATTTTTAGAAAAATTTATCAAAAGAAAAAAAAAGGTAAAATAACAGAAAACCGGCACTGTCATAAACCCCCTTTTTTTTTTGAAACCCTTTCCCCGGATTTGGCTCTATTTTTTTCCCCTTTTCCCTTTTTCTCTTTCCTGGTTGTATTTTTAAAGGGTTCTTGCAAAAATTTCCCCCTGAAAAAGTCTTGCTGTTCATGTGCTCTCATGGGCCCATTCCCCCATATAGGGGGGCTCAAGTTTTTCCAGCAACATGCCCCAAAATTTTTTATTTTCTGACTTTGGGCTTTTAAAAATGGATCCATCCCCTATTTTTTCCCTTCTACTTATACTTTGCATTTCAGGGGGGGGTTTTTATTCCCCTTTTTCCCATTTTGCGGGAAAACCCTTTTAAACTAAAATTACTTCAGTTTAATTTAAATTTTTGTAGCCCCCTTTTCAAATTTGGTGCTTTAAAAAAATTGCCCTCCCACGGGGAAAATTCCCTTTTTCCCAATTTTAAGTACAGGGGGCCCCCCCCCGTTAACAAACCCACCCCAAATGCGACCCAATTATGTAAAGGGTTTTTAAATGTAAGGGGTTTTGGGAAACATGAAAATTTTTTTTGGGGGTTTTAAAAATGGACAAATTTTAAACTTCCACAAAAATTTCCTTAGGGGAAAAAAATTTTCGGTCAGTACTGGCACCTGAACATACTACAAAAAATGAAAAATTTTCTTTTAACCGGGGGTTTCCACTGTTTTTTCTCTTGTTTTCCCCCCAGTTCATGGGGCTAAACTGGGAAAAGTTTACCCTAAACCCGACAACTCTAAAAGGTTCTCTAAAAAAACCCCTTTAATTGATTTCTTCCCCATCCTTCATCGCGGGTGCTCATAAGCGATTGTTCTCTCGCAATTTGAAAATTTCGATATCCCCAAAATTTTTGTAATGATCGTCCCCCATGAGGGGTTGCCCTTGGTTTGCTTGTGCCAGGCAAACGGGAGGTTCCTACAGCACGCAGGGGGGGGAAATGTGAAAAAGGGACGAATGCCCCAAAGGGGTGAGGGGGGAAAGCAAAGGGGGGACTATGCATGGATAGGGGTTAGTGGAGGTGGGGGAAAAAGGTACAAAATGAAAATTAAAATCACAGTTGGTGTAATAATTATTTTTGTTAAAAAGTCGCCCGGGTTGTCAGAGGGGGGCCCTTTCAGAAAGGGGAGAAAACACATATTGATAGTTTGTCCACAAAATTCCCCGGGTTTACTTTAAGCCCCCTTTGCGGGTTTTAACTCTTCCCCTAGCTTAAAATAAACTTGTGGGCCCCGCCCTGTCAGTTTTCCCTTTCAAAAAAAATGCATAAAATACAAAGGGTTTTACTTTTTTTTTTTCTTATTTTCAATGTCCCCTTCTCCAGCTTGAAAGCAATGCCCACCCTTTACTTGGGTTTTCAAAAACTAGTGAAAAAAAAATTTTTTTTTTTTAATTGGCAAAAACCTATTTTTTTAAAATTTTTGTTTTACGAAATCCAAACAGTACGAATGCTTTTTCATTTCCCAAAATTTAAGGGAAATGGCACTGCATGTATACCTACCCCCTTGGTTCATTTAAAATTTCCTCCCATTAATTTCCCTCTTATTGTTACTCTTCGTTACTATTTTTAATAAAAATTTATATTTCAAAATTTAAATCTTTTTCCCCCCTTAAACTGTTTTAAAACGTAGTTTAATTTTTTTTTTAAACTTTTGAAAGAAATGAAAAAAATTTGCTTTTTTTTTTTTTTTTACTTTAAAAAACGTTTTAAAAAAATTTTCTCTTTTTTTTTTTTGGGAAAATATGAAAAAAAAAACGTCTATCGTTTTGGACATTTTTAAGGGTTTAAATTTCTTGGGGGATCCCCAAAAACTCTTAATAAGGTTTTTGTTCCTGGGAAAAAAAATGGGAGGAAATTCAAAATTCTTTCCCTCATTTTTAAATAGCCTTCAGCCAGAAAATTTTAGATAAAGGTTAAAGGGAAATAATTTTTTTCATTTTTAGGCATAAAAAATATTTTTAGAAAACCCTTATTTTTTAAAATAATTTTTTTTTATATTTTTTCCCTTCATTCCCCATTTTTTAAAAAGGTTAAATTTGAAATTTTTAAAATTTTTCTTAAAGCCAGGAGCAAGGGGTTTAATTTAAAACCCCCTTCTATATATTTTAAACAAAATGTAAAAAAAAAAAAATTTCTTTTTTTCCTTTTTGGGGCCCAAATCCCCCCTCGGGGGGGTAGGGGCCAGTGCATTGAAAAAAAAGGAGTATAAAAAAAATCATTTAGACCCTAAAAAATTTAATAGGACCCCAAAAATTTAAAATTTTAAAATAGCATACTGGGGGGGTTTCTGGCCCCAAAATTTTTCCATTTTGGGTTCCCAAAGGGAAAAGGGTTTTCCCCAGCAGCATGCTCGGGTTTTAAAAAAATCAGAACCAGTGAACGGGCTTTGTGCCAGCGGGAAATTTTTTGGGGGAAAATTTTGAAACAATTAACTTTTCCCCTCTACTACCTGGTTCCTAGCCCTTTTTTCTTATCCAGTCACAAATTTTTCAAAAACTGCAAACTTCACAATTAAAAAGGGTTTTTAAATATTTCATTTAAAAATTTTACACTTTATTTTTATTATGTAAAAAGGGTTATGAATTTCCGGAACTCAAAAGAAAACAAAAGTTTTTCCCTAGTTTTTTAAACTCTAAACGGGGATGAAAAGCTGGTTTTTTTCTCATTTTTTTTTTTTTT